CAAAGTCATTAAAAATAGATTTTTTTTTTTGTTTGAACTCCAGCACCCGGAGGGGTCTGCAGGCAGTGTGCCGTGGCGGCGGGACACCCCGGGAGCTGTCTCCAGCTGGGGAGGTCAGAGGCCTGTGCTGGTAGCAGCCGTAAGCTATGGAAACTTTGCTTTGTTTATTTTATGTATTTATTTATTTGGAACTGGATTCTCACACTTGTTTTCTCAGGGGGCTGGCAGAGTTTGAGTTCATGTGTTTTGGAGAGTCTGTTGATTTTTTAAAAATTTTTTTTGCTGATGTTATGGGTCAGGCAGTAAAGGAAGGCAGTAATGAGACTCTCATTTAATTATTGAAGAGCAGGTTGATAAATAGGGAACTGAAAGACTCAGCAGCAGAGTTTGGGCATGGACAGAAGGAAGAGAGGCAGCAGTCGGGCTGGCAGGAGGAGGGCTCTTCCCCAGGAGCGTTGGTTTCTTGGCTGGTGACCTTCACGCAGATGCTCCTCAGCTCTGCCCAACTGCTTCATCGCTGTGCATGGGCTGTGGCCACGCGGGTGTGGAGCCCCTGTCTCCCGTCCCCTCTCCTTACCCCGCCAGGACTCGCTCCCGCTCCAGCGGAGCTGCGGCCTCGCCGGTGTCCGGGCTCCTCCGGGAGCTGCAGGTGAGGCCGTGCGGGATTTGAGGCTGCATTTGGACAATTCCTGCATGCCTCTGCTTGGCTTCGGGACCTCTCGCCTCATGTAGCTGGAGCGGGAATCTCAGGGTGTCCAAAGCTGGCAGCTGGTTTGGAAAGCTCGAGCTGCGGGATGGGGCTGGAGCCGGGGCTCTGCTCCCGGGGTGCTGCAGGACCTCACGCTCCGGCTCTGCCGATAAGTTCATCCGTCCAGGCAACGGGCTTGGGGCTTAGTCTGGGGTGGGGAATACACTCCTGAAGTGGTGATAGACCTTCTCAGATGTCTGCTCTGAGTGCCAGGAGCGTTCTTCTGACCTATCTTCTCTAAAATAAACAAAGCCAAGTATTTGCAGTTAAAAACTAAATACTGAAACCCAAAGCCCTTTCCAAATAAACCATTCTGCTTCGAACAGAACTGCCCCAGGGGCTGGCGAGGATGAGAGAGCAAATAGAGCAGGCTGTGACAGATGGGAGTGACGTTGGGGCTGCATAGCTGCGAGGTGCTGGTGCCCGCTGGCAGCCGGGTGCCGGGATGGGGATGCCACGAGCTCCCGCGGCCGTCGGAGCCGGGGGGGACCCAGCGGTGGCCACGGTTTGGGGTTACTGGATGCCCGCTGCCGGCACTCGCTGCCTTTGGGAAGGCGCGGGCGCTGCACGGCTCGCAGGCAGGATCTCTCCCTCGGGATCTCTCCTTGCCTGCTCGCTGCCTTGCCGTGGGCAGGCGCCAGGCCACCAGCCGCCCCGCGCCTGCGGGCAGCCACCCCCTCCAGCCTTCCTTGGCTCTGCTGTATCTGGGTACCGATGGAAACATTCCATTCCTCGCTCGAGCCACCTGTGGCTGTAAAAATCTGCCGAGACTGATCCTCTGAAGCCTCGTCCCCGCTTTGCCGCAGAGCTGAGCTGCCGGCGTGGGCAGCGGGTGGGTGTGCGGGCAGGGACTGGGGGGGGGGCGCGCTGGATGCCTCCTCCCAGGCCGAGCAGGATCCACTCCTGTCACCAGGGAGGTGCAGGTGGCCGTGCTGGTGACAGTGCTGGCCGCGGCCGCTGCCGTACCAGAGACTATCAGCAGTCCCTCTGCTGTTTTATTCATCTTCCCTTCTGGTTTTCCTTTTTCTGACTCTTTTTTTTTTTTTTTTTCCTATTCAGCTGCTTCTTGGCCGCCACCCTCTCTTTTTTTCTTCTCAATGGCAATCCGTGGCTGAAGGGGGCATGGGGGGACATTCATGGACTTGTGAGTCTTCCGTCCTTCCCCCCACAATCCGCAATGGTTTTCCTCCCACCAGCAGGCATTGGTGTTCCTTCTCTTCTCTCCCCAGCACAGCATTTCACACGCACAAATGCTTTGGTCTCATAATGGTAATTAGGCTGGCGGAGAACAGTTTAAAAATACCTAAAGCCAAGAGAGTGTTTCTAGCATGCCATCAGGAAGAGTAAGGACATCTGAGCTTTACTTCTGTACTGTCTCTGAAGGAAATAGAGCTTTCAGTCTCTGTGTTCATGATAGGTGTGGGAAAACATATGGATGTATCCTGTTCTTAATTGTATTTTTCGTTGTTTTTCCATGAAAACAAAACATATTATTTAAAGGGTTGGAATATTTTTCGGGATTTGGATCGTGGATGGGAAGGTTGGTCGAGTGTGCGTTGGTACTGTGAGAGCTGGGCAAGTACTGCAAAACCCCCCAACGGTTTTCATGCATGCAAATATCTAAATGCCTTCTGTTCGTAATCTTTTTTAACTTCTTCACTTGAACATTTACTTGGGTATTGGAGCAATGTGGGTTTTCTGGCATTAATTTTTATGAAGGATGAATTTCAAAGTCACAGGCAGAAGTACTGGAGGAAAGCAGATGGTTTATTTTTCCCCAAAGTCTCAGACCTTCCTCCAGCCAGGGACCAGAAACCTGTGACCACAGGGTGTATCTGGGCAGTTGGGGCTACAGAAGTGCTGGCCTAGAGGCACCCTTGGGGCTCTGGGTGCCAGTGCCAGCTCTGCTTTGGTCATCAAATGCTGCAGAGAGGCGAACGGTTCTCTGCCCTGCATGTGCAGGCGGTACAAAGAGAGGATCAAATGGCCCCATTTGGGCTAGAGACGTGCAACTCTGGGCATTGTTCAAAATTTCTGTGTAATTTTTAAAGAATTATCATGTGCAGAAGCCACAGCTTCTGAGCAGAAAAAGAGCCCAAATGCCTAACATAAAATCATCTGTAATGAACTGTTATTCGTATAATTCAAATCCTCCGTTATTTATAGAGCGCTGCGAGAGCATCCAGCTCCTCACAAACATGAAACAAGCCCTGAGCTGCATATAAATCACCGGGACAGATCCTGTCGAGCCTCACGTTGTGGGTGAGAGGCAGGGGATCAGCAATGCCCCATGATTTCGGGGCTGTCCTGACCCCTGGGGTGGCTGAGAGCCGTCCCACCAACACAGCTCAGGGTGCTGGGTGGGTTTGAGGGGACGGCAGTGACCTCCCTCGCCTCATCCTGCGGCGGCTGGTGGCTCCCACGGGGGCTGCCGAGAGCCACCGCGGCTCCGTGGGCTGCTCACTGGGTTCGAAAAACCTGCGTTTGCTCTTGGGTTCCCATCCAGGAGCAGCGCAGCGTCTGCGCTGGGAAATGGCTGGCGGTGGGGTGGGATGGGGAGGGCGTGGGCTGCCCCGAGGGGGCTGTGCCTGCTGCCAGGCTGGGGGGTCGCTCCCGCACCACTGCGGCCGCTGTAACGTGCTTTGAGGTGTTGAGCAGGAGGAAGCGAAGCAGGTAAAAGTGAGTCACGTGCAGCCACCCGAGGCGCAGACGAGACCCTCAGAGGGCACCCCGGGATCAAACCCAAGCCCTTTCTTTTGCACCTCTGTGCTGCTTTATCACCCTCCATTTTTCTTCTCTGTTTCTGAAGCTCTTCACGGACCTCCCAGGCTAAATGCCGGCCCGGCATACCTGGCTCTGCCTCTTGCACCCCTCGGTTCCAGCTCCAGGGCCGCTTTGCTCTTAGCGCAGCCCATGAGCCCTGTGAGTCCCACAGACTTCATCTCGCCGAAAAAAAAAAAAACAAACCAAAAACCACCCAGCCCCGCACATCCACACGCAATTTTTGTTTTAGGAAAAGCTGTTAAGTAGGACTGAGGAAACAAGAAGAATAGCAGCCCTATTGGTGTCGTGTTTAGAGAGGAACTGGGTTCTCACTGTGTCAACAGCACTTGGCCTGAAAGTGGCCGTTGTTTGGCGAGACACTGCTCCTTTCACCCCGCGCGCCCCAGCTGCTGGGAGCCGGGCGCTGTTTTGACCGACGGAGCGAGTGCAGTGCCGACAGTTGTTTTAATTTTCAGCCAGTTGCAGGCATCGCTCCCGAGGCCCGAGGGGAGCGGCCAGCGCTGCAGGAGGGCTGTGCCGGGGACAGCAATAATTATTTATGGTATTTGATAATAGAAATGTAAATACGTTGAAGAAGGACCAGCACCAGCAGGGCCAGTGCTGGAGCCACCACGCTGCAGCATCCGGGCAGGAGATGCAAACGTACCTGCTGGAGGTGGCAAGGGTCGGCTTGGAAAGGTTAAGGTGGGATTTTCCCAAGGACCCATGGTTAAAGCTTGGTGCCGTTTTGGAGCCTTCGGGGTTTTCAGTGCCGATAAATGGGTCAGGACTGTGCTACGCCTCAGCGTCACGCAGGGACCTTTCACATGTGCAGCAGGGGCAGGAGGGGGTTTGCAGGAGCCATCTGGGTCGGTGCTCCCTCGCGCTCTTCCCTTTCCCTCTGCTGTGGCGTCTGCAAGGGACAGGCAGCCCTGGGGGGGTCACGCCTGGGTGGCCAAGTCCGTGCTGGTGCTGGAGGGGCTCGGGGTGACCAAGGAGGAGCAAGTAGTGAAATACCCACGTAGGCTAAGTGAGCTGCCACCCTGCAAAATCCCAGTGAGTTTTATTCCCTGCCGGCTCCCCTCCCTGGAGCAGCTTTCCCCGTGGCACGTGTAAGATAGCAAACTGTAAATCAGGAGGAGAGGACGCGGATTTTGCCGTGGGAGCGTCTCAGGGCAGGGAGGTCGGAGTGTTTCTGGCGAGCCGGCGCCGGCGGTGGAGGCTGGCTGGGCTCCGGGCTGGGGCTCCGCTGTGCCCGTGATTCACGGCCTGGCGGTGCCCGAGGGACTCGGTGACTTCATGACTTGCTCCCCAATATTTCCTATCCTTGGCTGACTTCTGCACGGATGTTGGAACAAATCCGTTTAACTTTGTGAATCCCTGTTGTGTTACTTGACTCAAACTGGCGAAGCAGGACCTGGAGCTTCTCTCACTTCGCTTGCCCGCTGCACGGGGAGCACTGAGCCCATGTGGTTCTTTGTCTTTGCAGGTGTCCCGGGTGCCCGTGGAGTCCTGCGAGCAGTACACGACCTGCGGCGAGTGCCTGAGCTCGGGAGACCCCCACTGCGGCTGGTGCACGCTCCACCACATGTAAGTCCAGCCTTGGCCATGTCACTTGAGGTGCTGGTGACGATGATAAAAGCAGCTTTGAAAGCCACCAAGCGCCTCCCACGCAATCTTTGTAAAAAGCAAATTAGGTTGAGGTTCCTTAAATCCGTTATTCCCTTTCCTGGACGTTCCCTGCTGTTGAAAATCCCTGAGCTCCTGGGAAGGGGGTAAAGGAAAACGAATTCCTGCGTGGGTCGCACACCACGCGGAGATGGTGCCATGGACACGATGGGAAAGCAGAATTTAAACTGGTGGGAACAAAGGCCTCATGTTTTGCCCGTTCCTGCTCACCCAAGATGCAATCCCTCCCAGTTAACGGGGAATTTTGAAAGGCAATAGTAGGCTTGATTATATGAGTGGGACGTTGCTTTCAGAGAGCTTACAGCGCTGGAACAGAGCAGAGCACCGAGCCTTATGAAATGTATCAGGAAGAGATATTTAAATTCTGCAGGGAAAGGTCAGAGGGTCTGTGCAACAGCCGTCCCCGACGGGGCAGAGCCGGCAGCGCAGGGCTCAGAGCTGGCAGCCCCTCACGCGCATCAGCAGGCACAAAGGGTTTGGGTTTTTTTTCAGGGGAGCTCCAGGAAACGCTCTCTGCATTCAGGAGGTGTCTGTGTCCTTCCTTTCTCTCCCCTGCCATAATAACGATCACTTCCTAAGGCGGAAGGGGGACCACCGGGCAGAGGCAGATCGGGGGAGGAGGGGAAAGCCTCGAGGAGGTTGGAGCGGAGGAATAGAAATCCCTCCGGCTGCGTGCCAGCTTGCAGAGCAGCCCCGATAAATGCCTGGAAATCGGGGCGGAGGCAGAGTTCAGGGACCCGCACAGCAGCGCTTGGCCCCTTGCCTGAGGAGCAGGTGCTGGAGGGGGAGCAGGGAACAGCAGGCTCCTCCGCAAATCCGGCCTGGATTCGAGACCGGGGGGCTTTGGGGTGCAGACCGGCTCCCCCCGGCTCGCTTGCTTTGCAGAGGTGTTGCCACACGTGGGGAGGGGCAGGAGAACCGAGGCAGGCGCTGGCCCTGAGCGTCCCGCAGCTCCACGCAGGCAGGGGCTGGGGGCAGCAGCCCCCGTCAGCAGCATGGCAAGGTGGGACACAGGCACCCTCGGCATCTTTTTTTTTTGTTATTTTTTAGCTTTTTTCCTTTCAGGCGAGCCTGTCTGGCCTTACGGCTAGGCCACTGTATGTGCATTTGTGTCCTAAAGCCTTGGCTGTCAGGGCAGCTTTGTCAGAAGGAAGCGCTTTGCATCCCTGGTGATTCCCATCCCCTTGGCTCTTCCCTCGGGACAGCGGCTGGGACAAAAGCCACCGCAGCCTTTTGATAGTGAGGGGACGGGGAAGCGAGGAAAGGGATGAAGTGAGGAAAGGGGACACGCGCTCCTCAGCCTCTGGCCAGAGCTGCAGGTCTGCCGGTGCTCCCAGGAACCGGCTACAGGGATGCGAGAGCGTCCCCTGCCCTGGGGACAGCGGCCGTGTGGCTGCATTACGTACCTGGGGGGGGTTGGTGCTGCTCCTCAGGCTCCTGCAGCAGCTCCTCGGCAAGGATCACCGAGTGCTTTCCTGATGCTAATGAACGGAATCTTCATAAACCACCTAGGAAGCAGGTAAAGGTTGTTATCTTCATTTTGCAGAGAGAAAACCCTCAATGTTAAGAGGAGAGAAAAGTGTCATTTCCTCTGCCCTTTTGGCCGTGACATTTCAGCATTAACCTATTCCCGACAAGGGTTTCTTCCCTGATGGTATTTCTCAACCCTCTCTTCAAGTGTCTGCACATTCCTGGTCTGCTTGGAGCAACAATCATTTTTCTTTAGCTTTTGTCTTAAGCTGTAAATAATTGAGTTTATCTTGCTCTTCCTGAAGCCTCTGTCATATTTGTTTGGAGGCCCCAAGTGCTGGAGCGCTTGTGTTTAATTTGTCATCTCTCTCCAGTAATTCTTACGTGTCCCTCCTGCCAGATGGACCAGCTGCTCCTTTGCTCAGTGGAAGGGTTTCGGGTCAGGCTGCGGTTTCTGGGGGCTGGTGAGAAGGGTGAGGGGCAGAAGAGGAGCCGGGTTTGTCCTTGAAGGAGCAGGAGAGCAGCTGGCCACCAGCGCGGCGCGGGCAATGGTGCACACCAGCGCTGAGTCTCAGTTGGGGATTGAAATCCAGTGGTTTTCCCCCTCTGCTTGTTGTGGGGGTTTTCTGCCCCGGTTCAGGGTCTGTGTCCTGGGGGTACCAACCCCACCAGGCAGCTCGGGGAGTCGCTGTGCAGGAGCTGGGCCCGCGGAGGAGCAGGGCAGGCTGCAACGGGCACCTGCCATCCACATGGGCAGTTGCCAGGGGCTTAGCTGAGGGTGTGGACGTGCAGGTACTGAGCTATCAGGGAGCCAGAAAATAAAACAGAATTTTAAATGTGTTGGATGTCTGAACAGGTACAGATGTGAGATAGATGGACGGAGCACTGCCCCCTTCCAGGTGGCATCAGGAAGAGTCTCCTGCCTTCCGCGCCACCAGCCAGAGAGGAATAATAAAGGAAAAGTGAAAGGAGTTGTCCTGGGATAAGCTTTCATTATCATAGAGCTTTCCTTGTGTGCTTCTCTCTCTTCAAGGCCTGAGTGGGGGCTTAAGGCTGTGCGGCACAGTGGGGCGCTTGCATACACGTGTGCGTACCTCGAATTTAAGGGTGGCGATAGCGGAGATGCTCATGAGGGAGCTGCCCGTGAGGTGAGATCGGTGAGCTCTGGGACCAGGAGTCAGTCACGCTGGGGCACGGGCTAACCGGGGCAGCTCAACCGATGAACCTGAACCCGGAGGCAGCCGCCGCAGCCCGGCAGCTGCCCCGAAAGAGGAGCTCGGCTCGGTGGCAGCCGCGGGCAGCTCATGCCTTGCTCCGGGCTTTGAGGAACCTTGGGCACAGGATGTTTGAGAAGGTGCTGAAAACCAGCAGGACGGGGAAGGTGCTGGTCCTGTGGAGCTCCTCGGCTCAGCCGGGGGACCCCGGAGCAGCAGCGTGATGCTGGGACAGCCCGTCCCTGCCCCGGGGATCTGCTTGATGGGATCCTGTGCTCCTCCTCCTCCTCTGCTCTGTGGGAGCAAGCAGAGGTCTCAAGGAGAGTGTTGAAGAGTCTCTTCAGCCCAGTGGGATTTGAAACCTGCAAGACTTCCATATGCTGCTCTCCACAAGTGTGTTATTGTCTACAGACCTATTTATCTCTGTTAGGGCTGTTGCCATAAATAGTATGATAAAAAAGAGCCATTCCAGCGAGTCAATGAGATAAAGGCTCCAGTCAAGAGCTCACTTTAAAGCTATCTTACAGATTCACTTAAACCTCAATAATTCTTCCTTTGGCAGCATTCATATTTAGCTCCATTATACTCAAAAAAAAAAAAAAAGGAAAAAAAAAAACGAGAGGGTGAGGAGAACAGCACCAGCGTTTGCCAAGGATCACACGGGTGGTTTGGAAAGGGAAAGTGCAAACTCTACTTTTCTTAATCGAAAGCAAACGGCCCCATGGGGAGGATGGTGGTCCACTGTTTCAGAGCGGGAGGCCCTGGTTGTGCCCGGCACTTGTCAGCTGCCCAGAGCTCGATGTGCGTGGCAAACCTCAGCCTCTGCGTGGGCAGGAGGTGTTTCTGCTGATGCGTGTGTGTGTCTGGGACCGCCTGAGCCGCTCCGCAGGGAACCGGGAAAACAAGCAGTTTGACAGCAGCACCTTGTTAATTCAGGTAACATATACACTCAGGTAACTGTCAGAGGGGAACTGGCTGGTGGCATGTGGGGCTGGTGACAGCATCTCGATCCTCTGACCTTTGCGCCACCGACTGAAATAGAGTCCAAGATCTGCAGTGAGTGAAAAGTGATAAAGTTTGCTGATAGCATATTAAGACCATTAATACCAAAAGGCCAGTGTGTCATCTGCACCCAGGGAGGGAGGTTGGAAGAAAAGGATTTTCCCTCGATGACATAAAATAGAAAATCACTGAGGGATGCCAGTGCTGTGCTGCAGTCTCTGATGGTTTGAAACACCAATAATTCTTCCTTGGTCTCTCAGTGGGTGCTCCTCTACCTGCTGGAAGCAATTTCACTCCACTCCAAGGACACCTGCAATAGAAAACCAGGGATAAGGAGCCGTCCCGGAGCCCGCGGCATGCAGGAGCAGCCCGAGGCTCCTGGGCTGCCCAGGGGCTGCCATTCCTGCTGGTGGGAGTGGGAGAGAGCTGGGAGCTCGAGGTGTGAAAACCAGCCGAAGTGCCGCCGGCAGCTGCTGGAAGGGCCCGTTCCTGGCCCTGCCACGCTCCAGGAGGAGGCGATTAATGAACTATGTGTTTTTCTTTTAATTAGAATGGAGGCATCATCTTGTTACTGCCTGTTATTGCTTTACGGTTTAGTTTCGGTGCAGATGATGAATTTATGGCTTGTGGGGGCCCCGGCTGAGCAGCAGCAGAGCGCCTGGCTCGCCCCGCACCCACAGAGCCCGCTGGCACATGGGACTTAGTAGTTCTGGGTCACGTCCCAGTGCAGGTGGGACTGGGAACTGCTTGTGAGATAGTTGTGGTTTGTCTTTCCTCTGATCACAGCGTATTTTTCAGTTCTCTTTGGTCCTAACCTGAAGTCTGTACCCGATACCTGGTCCCGGTGCAGAGCATCTCCCAAATCCTGCTGATACCTCCCCGTCCCCCGCCGAGGCTCTGCCCTCCTTGTTCAGCAGGAGCACCTCGTGCTGTTCGACATCTTCCCCGCGTGCTTTGTGGGTTCTGACGTGTGCTCTGTGCTGCAGGTGCTCGCCGAGGGACAGCTGCGAGCGAGCCGAGGAGCCGCACCGCTTCGCAGGCAGCATCGGGCAGTGCATGAGGGTCAGCGTGCAGCCCAGCAGCCTCTCCGTCTCCGAGCACAGCCTCCCGGTAGGTGCTGCGGGGAGGGGGACACCTGGCAAGGACAGGCACTTCCACCACTTTTCGGGATCACAACGTACACTCCGTTCTCCAGCCTTTCTCCCTTCCCGCCAGCACAAATGTTTTCTCATGAAGTCAGGCTCGCAGAGGGACCGGGGAGGAAAGGGGTCATCCGAGCCGGGGATGGCAGAAACAAATTCCCCTTCCCCTTGGGCCTCAGCTCACATTTCTCTCGGTCTGGTTTCATTAGCTGTTGAAAAGAAAGGCTTTGTTTCCCAAAAACCTCATCTGTGAGCTGTGCTCAGGCCTGGCTCTCTGAGGCATCCCAGCTGTTGCTCTCCCAGCGCCCCGTGGCAGCTGGCCTTGCCGCAGCCCCTTCCCGCTCCCCGCCGGGGCCGGCTGCCCCCTCCCGACTCGGTGGGGGCTGTTGGGAGCCCACACACCCCTTCAGGCTGGGGTTTGCCGTGGGGACAGTCCCCATGCGTGCCGGGGTGCGTGGGGAGTTGCCCGTTGGCGTGCCGGGGGCTGGGCTGTCTCTCCCGCGCAGGCAGCAGCGGTCGCGGGCGTTGGAGCCGGGGAGGGTTGTTGGGGCAGTCGCTGCCGCTCTTGTGTGTGTGAACACGCTGCTGCTGCTGCCACGGGCTCCTGACGGGGGCACGGAGGGTGGCAGTGCTTCTGTAGAGCAACCGGGGGGGACGAAAAGCTGCCATTGCCTCCTCCCCTGAACCGCAGTACCCAGAGGCTCAGCAAGGCGGTTTTGTGTCAGTGAAAAACCTGCGTCCTTGGCTTTCTTCTTTCTCCTCTGCTCCCCATGAAAGGGCAGCTGGGCACCTCCTGCGGGCGGACGGGTTATTTAAGGGGGTCAGTACTGAATGGGAAAACAGTGGGTACTGAAAATACAAAGGCGGCTCGGGCAGCTCTGCCTGCTAACAGGTTTGTGCCTGTGTTTCGTTTCCCCTCTGCCTCTCCTCGCGGCGGCAGCTCAGCCTGCTGGTGAGCGATGCTCCGGACCTGGCGGCCGGGGTCACCTGCCTCTTCGGCAACCTGACTGAGGTGGAAGGGCAGGTTTCGGGCAGCCGCGTTGTCTGTGTTTCACCAGCAGCGAAAGACGTTCCTGCCATACCTGTGGATCAGGGTAAGTGACTGACTTCTGGACAGCGATACGGCGTAGGTTTGGAAGTACCTGCCAGACCCTCTGGGGCTGCCGCTGGAGAAAGTCAGGCTCCTGGCAAAGGTCTTTGAACCCAGGGAGCTAAATGTGCTCCGTCCTTAAGAAATGAATCCCACACAGAGAAAGACGGACTGGGAGCAGGCAGCACCACATGCTTGCCCTGTCCTTACACCCTCCCTGCGCTGCCAGACGGCTCCCCAGGACAGGGCAGGAGCCGTCTGTCCCCCGTGGGGTGACTCGTGAGCGGGGCAGGGGCTCACAGCCTTGCCGCACCAAGTGGGTCTGGAGCGCAGGAGCCTTCCCCTTGGCCTGGCTCAGCACCCATGAGTAGGTGGATGCAGTTTCTATTTTTCAGTCCTGAACTTTGTGTTGTTTCTTCATTAATGTCACTGCTGTCATATTTTTCCTTCCCGTAGCCAACATGCTACTTGCTTAAAACTCATTTTCTCCTTGGCATCCTTCCAGGTGTCAACTGTGCATCCCTGCTGATATCTTTGTATTTCTAAGGCATTAGATGGAGCCTGAGACTCGGTGAACGCTGCGGGCCGAGAGCCGCCGTGGTAGCGGGGCTAGCGTAGACTTACCCACAGCAGCTCCGGAAGAGCAATCTGCTCTTAATTAACTCAGTGCTGAGGCTCCTAAAGAGCTTCACTGATGCCCTTGTTTCCAGTATTGTCTCCTATTCTAGTCCTGGGCTGCTTCTCAGAGTAGACTGAATTAATGTTTTTATACCAGAGACAGAATCCTTTAGGGAATGGGATGAGATGCCAAAATGGTTTCAGCTGTGACCCAAGGCAGCGCTTAGACCCTGTGTCTCCAATGCATTTTGCCATCAAGCGTGATGGAGTTTGGAGGCACTGCTGGAGACAGCCAACGCGGCACCCCGGGGTGCTCGAGGGCAGGGTCCGGCCGGGGCGATGCTCAGCCCCCAGCTTGGGGAGCTGCTGCAGACCCACCACAGGTGGGGGTCCTGTCGGCAGGGGGAGCAGGGAGATGAAAGCAACCTGACTTCCACCTTGTACCCCAGCAGCAGATGGCTCAGCGCGCTGGCAGGCGGGGAGCGGTGCCCCCGCGTCTGCTGTCGCTTCCTCCGTTACTGCTGCCGGGACTGACGGGCTCTGGTTTGCATCCCCAGACTGGTTCGGCGTGGTGCTGCAGCTGAAGTCGCGGGAGACAGGGAGGACGTTTGTCAGCACGGAGTTCAAGTTCTACAACTGCAGTGCCCACCAGCTGTGAGTGCTCCCTCCCCGTCCCCGAGCGGGAAGGAGAAAGGGCTGGGAGGTGGATGCTGGGCTCTGGGACCGGCCGGGGGGGTGTCACGCTGCTTGGCTCAGCCAGCAGACATGGGGGGTGGAAGGGGAGCCCACCGGTCCCCGTCTTCTCTGAACTTCTCTGGGGGTGTGTGTGGCTTTCTTTTGCCTTGTGAGACGCAGGCGGAAGGAGCCGGAAAAAAAACCTTAACCTGCTGGTGCCCCCAAGCTGCGCGATCCCGCAACTGTGAACTTGGATGTGTCCTCGCAGGCAGCGGGTGAAGGCAGAGCCGAGGGTCCGGGGAGGTGGGCAGCGGGGAGGAGGCAGAGCCCTTCCACGCTGCACTGCCCAGGAGAGCAGGGTGCTGGCTGCTGCGAGATGCTCCGCAGGGTGACGGAGGAGGGCAGGGCTGCTGGAGGAGATGGACTGAGCTGGGCACCTCCAGGGTGTGAGCGCGGCCGTTGTGTTTGAGATGGAGTGAGCAGCAGCGCTGGCGGCAGGAGCTCCACAGCCTGCCAGCCCCTGGGGCTGGGGCAGAGCAGCCCTGGGAGCCCAATACGGCAGCCCCGGCATGCGGCTGGCACCGTGGGCTGCTCCGTGGAGGACTGGGGGGCTCGGTGCTGCTGGGGGCCTTGGTGCTGCGGAGCTTTGTGGAAACATGGCCCCTGTGGGCACGTGTGCTGCTGGAAGGCAGCACGGAGCTGGCTGGCCTTGAAAACACCTTTACAGCCCTGCAGGGTTTATAGATTTCTCTCTGGAATCAAGGCAAGCTCCAAAGCACCAAAATGAAATGTGGGCAGGACCTGGCAGGCGTTTGGCTACTGAATGGCCGGCCTGACCCACGGGGCTGGGCAGCATCTCCTGTGGCAGGGGTCAGCTGCCAGCTTTGCTGCTCGAGGTGGCGGGTGGGAGTCGGGAGCTGCCAGCACAGCGGCACTCCCGGTCTTTCTGCACTGGGTTTGAAGCCTCAGGCTACTGGGCCTCCCCTGCTGCACTTGGAGGAGGGTTCTGTGCGCTGACAGGCTCGGCTGGCCTCTGGTTTTTCTAGGCATGCGTTCCTTTTCTTTTTAATTTTTTTTTTTGAGCCATAGCACAGAGCAGAGGTACCGGGGTGAGCGGAGCCCTGTGGATCCTTCAGTCGCCACATTCTGCCTCTCGCCATGCCCATACCGGTTACCCCAGTGATCCCAGCCTCCTGTCGCGCTGGCTCTGTCCCCACAGCCTTGTCCCTCAGTCAGGTCCTACAGCGCCAGCCTCTCCCCCAGCAGTGCACACTCGCAGTCCCTGTGCACTCTGGTGGTTTTGAATTTGCACGAGGGATGGCATCATGGGGAGCCCAGTTCTCACCCCGGAGCTGAGGTTTGAATCGGGAGAGGCAACGCATCTTTCCTGGCCCGTCAGTTGGCTTCACCTGACCATGCCCTTCCACCAGCTTGTGTCTGGAGATAAAGTGCTAATGCAGTGGTAAATTCTGCAGCACTTACAACATACCAGACTCGTTATCGAGTGAGTTCAAGAGGGCACGAGCCAGGCTGGCAGGAGTGAATCTCACCGTGCAAAAAAGACGAAGGAATACGGGTCTCAGCCAGCGGAGGAGAGAGACCTGTTGGTTCTGAGCCTCTTCATTGCTGCTGTGAGGGTATCTGGAGAGAGCAGGGGAGCAGCCGTGCCCTCGTGGCTGTGCAGCAGCACAAGTGGTTGTGGGCTGTGACACACGTACCCCTCGGGAGGTGGCATTAGGCTGAGCGGGGCAGGAGGGGGCTGGGGCTGGGCAGGAACGTGCTGCTTTTGCCAACTGGTTCTGTGAAACCTCCCGTGCTGAATCTGGCTGTTGTGAACCCGCAGGCTGAGATGGTTCATCGCTCAGGTGCGTGAATCCCTGCGTCCCCAGGGAGCTGCAGGTGCGTCGGGGAACACAGTGGTGGCTTCTGCGTTCCTTTTAATAAGGAACAAATGAGATGGAGAGATGCGCTTTCTGAAGCAAGAGCCAGTGGTCCTTAAGAAAGCTGGATCAGGATGAAGGACCAAAGGTGGTGACCTGGTGTAAGTCTGAGAGGTCAGGAACCTGCCAGGAGCTCCTCGCCCCTCTCAGCTGGGGCTGAGCAGAGCTGAAAGCAGCAGCCAGAAAACCACAGTACAGTGAGAGGTGCCGAAACCAGCCGTTGGCCTGGAAGATCAGATTGCCCCCCCCCTCACCCCCAGCCGTGCTGGGGGAAGCAGAGAGCTCCGTCGGCACCAGATGGGAAAGCCAGAGGCCAGGGCCAGGCCAGGTGAGGGCACTGGGAGAAGTGCTACGGACCGAAATGGAGACAGAAATGGGTCAAACAAATGAGTAATTAAATAAGCTTGTAGCACTTGATGCTCTTCCCCAGATTTGCATGTGCATGATTAGAATAAGCTTCCTTAGCTATTAAGGTCACTACAAATGCATCAGAAGGAAAATACAATTGAGTTATTAAAGCAGCCCGGGAGGGGCACTGCCCTGATGCCCCCGCCCAGCTGGTGAGAGCCTCTGCCCGGAGACCTCCTTCCCTCATTTTTCAGAGTTTCCTGCCTAAGGCCATGCTCCTGCTTCCTTGGTGATGCTCATGTGTCTGCACTGAGCCTGGGCTGGCTCCAGCACACCCCTGCCCCGGGCACTGCCTGTTCCGGGCAGCACCGGGGTCTCTGGAGCTGCGGGTTACGACATGGAGCTGAATCCCGTGGGCACAGTTTATATTTAATCCAGCAGACGGTCACCAAAACGCTGCCTCATGGCACAGAGGGTTGGCCTCGGAGATGGAGGAGGTGGTTACTGCAGATATTAGCGGCTGTCACGGACTGTGTGGATAACTGGCAGCCAGTTAGTGTGGGGTAAAAACCACCCAGCCAGTTCGCTGGCAGCTGGGCCACCCCGTGTCTGAAAAGGGGTCTGCGTTCTTTCATAAACATTTCATCAGCAGTTAATTTCTTCCAACAGGAATCAAAAGCACTTGCTGGACTCTGCACTTCAAGGCCAAGCAGAAGTGTTACCATTGACGTGAAGCATTCTTGACTTATAAAGCAGCTGATCCAATTTTTGCCAGGCTTGCCTTTTTTTTCCACTTTCTAGAAACTAAAAACCAAGTCTAGTGTCTCTGTAATGTTCTGCTTTATTTTATGCCAATGCAATAGTGCGTGATAAGTCCCAGCCTGTATTTTATCAATGAATGAATTGTGAGGTTGCTTAAAGTCTTTTGAGTGCGAGTTTTCCCAAACCTGTTTGTTACTTTTGTTGTTATCAAAACATCTCTCCAAAGAGATTATTTTCCCATGAAGTACCCTGAGCCTGGACTTCTGGCTAGGCCTGTCTGTTACCATAAAGACCTCCCACGGTGATAACCTCCTCCATAACTTCTCCTTTCCCTGCCCCCAGGTGCCTGTCTTGTGTGAACAGCGCGTTCCGCTGCCACTGGTGCAAGTACCGGAACCTTTGCACCCACGACCCCACCACGTGCTCCTTCCAGGAGGGACGGATCAACGTCTCTGAGGTACCAGACCGGGGTTTCACTACTTCTGAGCTCTTTATTCTTTGCTTTTCTATGGCACAATTAGCATAACCGATGTTTAAGTGAGGCTTTTCAACTTCCCATGGGTTGGGGCTCCCCTATTGGCTGGTATCAAAAAGCGTAGATGCAACTTTAAAGGAGTGTAGCAAGAAAGTGTCAGTTTAGCAAAAACGATGTGTCTCAACCTGAAGGTCAAAGCTGCTCCCACCTCTGACATGTGGGTACTCTCGGGTTCAGTGACAACTGTAATTGCTCTGGTGCTTTCCTTCGGGGAAAAAGACTCCTCAAAAACTCCTCAAAGAGCAGCACATTGCATCAACTCTGCTTTACACGAGGCGTGCAGGGGTTTGCGCGGTGGCAAGCAAAAAGTCAGATGCAGAGCTCTTGGTGGGACTCATTCGGTGGGTTGTGTTGGCAGGTCTGAAATTTATGGCAGGACTAAACTGATTAAGAAGGGAGTTTCAGATGTGAACAGCCCCAGACTTTGGAAAAGAGAATTGATTCGGGTTGCAGCACTGTGGATCAGGAGTCGGCTCTCTTAGCAGTTAATAAAAGGTGCGGGGCTCGAGTCCAAAAACGCTTTTAACGGTTGGAAGGAGGCAGGAGGCACAGCCCATTAACAGCTCTGCCAGAGCTTCTCTATGTCCCAAGGCAGAGGGATCCACGGAGGGAAGGACTTGGTTAGCACAAATTCCTGATCGGAGGTTACCCCCAAGGGGGCCATCCTGGTCTTCACCCTTACGGCCCCTGCACATGGCTTTGTAGCACCTGAAATGCAGGTCCTAAAGCTGCAAGGAAGAAAAAAAAGATTTAAAAGGTGCTTTGAAAATCCTGGGTGTCTTGGGAAGTGGGAAAGGCAGCAGTGGGGACATACACAAATGTTCGAAGAAGGGAGAGTAGCGTTAGCCAACATCAAGACAAACCTTTATCCGTGAGTAATTGAGATAAAGCAGAAAATATGTCAGTGGCCGTGAGAAACAAGTGGCTGAAGCTGCCAGGCTGCTGCTAAACCAATAGTAAACTTGAAACTCAACTCATGGGTCCTTCTGGTTAAAGTGCTGCCGGGATAGATCCGAGGCAGGAAACGTTAATGGACTGCACGTGCGGGGATCTCAAAGCCAAGGGACGGGCAGCGTGACGGGGAGCAGGCGCTGGGCGTTCTGGGAGCACCCAGGACGGGTGCCCGAGGAGAAACGCCCACCCTGGGGACAAACCAAAAGCTTTCTCAGTCCAGTTCAAAGTCAAGAAACTTCCTTGCCGCACAGCAAGAGAAAGCAAAACCCTTTGCCTTTCCCTCTCTGGAGCGATGTGGGGCTTTTCTCTTTCAGACTCAAAGCATCGCTGCATTCCCAGGCTTTACAATTGTAGTCTCAGTTTTATAGGTCTTCAACCCCATGATCTCAGAAGTGTTTGACAAGTCTCTGGTAAAATAGGACAATCCCATTATCTCCATTTTTCTCCTGGAAACGCACAGGACTTGCTTGAGATCACACAGAAAGAGCGAGTGGAGGAGTTGGTATCTCTGCCAGTTCCTGCTGGGATCACAGGACTGTTGCGTCTCCAAAGAACTTCCTCTGTTGTCTTCACCGTGTAGAGGCTGTTTCTTACCAGGGGATGTTACGTGATATCTCACACCTTCCTGGCAATCACTTTTGATAAGGGCTGATGATAACGACACAGATGCTCCAGCCTTCGTCATGACTTGAACACAGAGGCAAAAACAGCCACCAAAACCGAATTTTGTTTGCTTATTGAAGGCAAAAGAATTGCCGCTTGCGTGCGCAGTGCAGTGCTAATGCCTTTATTGCAGACATTTTGCTCCGGCTAACACGACGTGAAATAAAAGCCTCATAAAGAGTTTCCTCTCTGAAAACAATTCAGACCACAATGTTCTCACTGTGTCACAGCCTGATGTATTAGCGGACTGTTTGTGCTCAGCACCACCATCGCTCCCTTCCCAGCAGAGGGTGGTGGGTGGCCGGAGCCGGAGCGGTGCTGCCGCGATCGCCGTGGTGGTGCCTGCGCCGGCGCGTGCTGCCCTACTTTCAGTCCCATGGGCCTCTCCTCATCTAAGTTTTGCACACGTGTTCACACGGGGCTGGAAATTTTACTCGTGCCTTTATATTTAATTTAAGAGAAAATGTCTTGAATATTCCCTTTTACTCCTGGCCCGTCAGGGTTTGTGTCCCACTGGGATTCGATGTGTAACAAACTCCCTTTGATGCTCCTAGGAGTCGTCTGTCTTGAGAAGGGAAAAGAGCTCAAAGCCTCAGCTACTTCACAAGGTGATGGGGGAAAGAAAGCCCTTCTTCAGGAGCTGTACGCTTGCTCCTTGCAGTCTTCTGGCCGTACTGACCGAGCCACATGCTTTTGCCCTGCTTCCATGAAATTGCAATCAAGAGAACAAGGTTTTTCTGTGTCTCCACCTGCCCCATCAACGGGAGTTGTTCACTAAAACCCAAGGGCAGAGCTGGGCGATGCAGAGCACAGCCTCCGGAGATGGGTTGGTGCTTTGTCACGGGATACCGAGTGGCCTGTGAAGCCGTGGGTGAGTGATAACCACGGGCATTTGTGATGCGTGGGAAGAGATGCCGCCCCTCGACTGCCGGATCTCTGGTTTGCATCACGCTGTCACATTTGCCAAAATGAAAATCTATTGCCTGTGTGCGAGGCGCGTTCGGTTTGCAGTCGGTAGGAAAATACAGAACCCTTCACTGCCTTTACAGCAGAGCTGCCTTCCAGGTCTGAGCTGGCTCTTCTCGGTGGGAGGTTTCTGACATGGGGTAAACCCAACTCCTTTGAGGCCTCTGTTTCCAGGCGGCCCGTTCTGTAGGAGTTGGTCATCAGATAAGTAGCTCTATTTTCTCAGCCTTTTCATAGCCTGAGGTGTCATTTGTCCGCAGAAGGTGCCTGCTTAGATATTGCCAACCAGAGAGCAGTTGGAAGTGGGAAGGCAAAGGCCTGGGGCTGGCTTGCACACACAAAGCAGAGCTTCTCCCAGAAGAAGCCTCGTGGGTGTAGCGCTGATTGTCTGACTTTACAAAGCTTCAGATCAGGCCTATGATATCATTTTAACGTGTCTGAGGTGGTTGGGTTTGCGTGTGTGTGAGGCTGTTAGGTGGCTCTCCCTCGATGTATAAAACATGCAGATGAAAAGGAATGTAGATACATAAATATATTCTTACACCCCATCCCAGTGGAGAGCTAGAGCCAAATAAATCCTGTTAGTTTCCCAGAACATGGGATCCCATCCCTCTTTGATGTCCACTATGTGCAGATAATGCCATTTCCACATGTGAGATGCTGAATCAAGGTGTCAGAGCATTTCAGATTCCAGGATTTCAGTGCAGAGCCGCGTTTTGGCTCTGGTCTGACTCCTTTAAATTTTCATTGCTTTTAGAGGAACACCTTTGCCCCTGGCTCTGCCCTTGGATGCTGAGAGCTGCTTGATGCACCTCGAAGGAAATAAAATTAAAGCTACCTCATATCTGTCCTTACGGTCCCCACTGTTAAATACCTGCATGGGAACTATGATGTGCAGGACATAACTCAGAGCCACATCTAAGTCCACCAGAGTCAGCAAATGACTTTGCTGGGTCACATCTAACTCCTGGCGAGATGTGTTTGTCGGAAAAATACCAATAGTAAGCAAGAGCCCAGCTGCAGCAAGATTAACTCATCTCAGTTGAGAAGATTGGTTTGAGTTTATTGGCCACACTTTTTTTCCTCGGTAGATTTATGGTGTGTCTAACCTACAGAGTGTGGTGTTTGGAGGGGTCAGAGCCGTGCAGGGAAGTGCTCTGCAGGGCTGCCGGGGACAGGAGCGCTGCAGGGAGCCGGGGGGAGATGTTCCCACCTGGAACCTGGCCGTGTTGGAGGGAATTGCTCCTGCCCTCTCCCCTGGTACACAAGGGGTTGTTTATGGGTGAGAAATAGGCTCCCCAGCCATTCCACACCAGCCTTCGGGGTGTTTTGCACGGCTCTAAGTATCACAGGGCTTCATAAATTAATGGCGAAGGCCAGGTTACAGCATGAGCGTCCAGCCCAGAGCGCGGGACAAAAGGGCACTGGGTAGGGATTCACCAGTGAGAAAAGTCTCGCTTCAGTTGCCTTTCTTTTCATGTTTGGTTTCTAAGGAGCGGGGTCTGCTCTCCTTTCCAGTAGCGTAAATGAAGAATAATGTGTTTCCGTGAGTGACGGGGACTGTAATTTATATCATTGGAAACACAACCGTGAGCCAGGGGTTTACATTCATGTGCCAGATTCATTTATGTTTAGAACTTTAAAAATACGTGTAGCGAGATAATATTTGTGGAGGTTTGCATTTTGTTGGGTTTTTTTTTTTAAGATGAAAAGTATGAAAACATTATATTTTCTTCCATTTGGACTAAATCCCACAGTCAAAAGAAACACCTGCCATTTCTAGGCAATTTTTTTTTTTTTTTTTCCAAATAAGAGCGAGAAGATTTGACCTACTAAAACTGCTCTGTTAAACACAAATAATAACCATGGGTGCTCTGTTCTACTCCAGAGACAGATGCGTATCGTGGATCTTTAAGGTATTTATAGACCTTGGAATCTTTGAGGCTAAAAAGTGTTGGAGAAGCATAAAATGCCTTTGTAAATTGTGTGCGAAGATACTTCATACGGAGAACATTCCCCGGGAGTCTGTGCCACTCACGCGTCAGAGTCTTGTCTTTCTCCAGCAGATCTTCTGATTTGTGTTTATTCTGGTGTACTGAAGTCAAGAAGGATAATAAGAGGATTCAGCATGTGTTTGTTTAGCGAGAGGAGGCAATAATGGCCTTTCTAATTCACTGCAGGATTTACTTCTCATGAATTAAAAAACAAAGTAAACTGATTATGGAACAAATTTTATATTCCGCTGGTTGCGGTCTCCCTTTTATTCTGCATTTTCCGGAGGCTCAGCTCTTCCTGGCACTAGCGCGGGGAAGCGCAGAGTCGAGCACCCAGACCTGAGCCCTGCAGCCCCGGGACGGTCCCCCAGGGCGAGGGGCCCTTTGCCCCAGGCCCAGCAGCAGGGCTGGTGCTGCCGACCGCTTCCCAGCTCGCCCCGAAATTCCTCCGAAGTGAACAAGCCTTGGCGGAGGCGAAAGCTGCCGATATACCCCTAACAAAATCCTTTCCGTTAGCGCCGGCTTTTAGCACGGGTAGCAGCGGTGGGGAATGGACAGACGGACCTGCCAGGCTGCTCCCATGTGGCATCGTCCCCTTCAGCTCTGCGTGTGCCCGTGGGAGCCAGGGGCCACTGCTGGTCCCCGGCGTGGGACCCGCGAGCTCCAGGGGAAGGCCCGTGTGCGCAGGGACGTGGGGATCCATCGCTGCCCAGCAATTTAAAATAAAAAAAAAAACAAACACACAAATAAAAAAAAGACCTGAAAGCTGAACAATGAGCCCGGATGGGAAATGGCACAAAGAGGGAGGACAGGGCCTCCAGCAGTGGCTCTGAAGGCGTGCGTCGTCCGAGCCAGCCCCGCAGCGTCCGCGAGCCCCCGCAGCGTCCGCGCCTTCGCTCGCTCCTCCGCTCGATGCAGCAGCCGCTGCCGGCAGCAGCGTGGCTCCGCGCCAGGGCCCCGGGCTCCTGGGAGCGTAACGCCTTCCTGCGTATCGCTCCATCCCAAAATGGATATCCCCTTATTAGTGTGATCACTGGAGCTGTCAGCCAGCGCAGAGGGGCTGCCTTCCTCCGTGTTTCCCCGAGCGGCTGCACTCACGGGCTGCAATGCCTTTTTTTTTTTTTTCACCAGAATCCCAATGTGACATTTTTCTCCTGCTGAAACCAAAGGAAGAAAAATCTATTATGTCCTACTCATCTCTAATGACGGCAGAACAATTTTTGCTACCAGCATTTTCAGCACCAGAGAGCAGATTTGAAAATGTAAGTCCTCTCCCATGTCTCTCAAGGAAGAAGCGTTTCTTTAGCAGTCGTCTCACGAATAGCAGTGGCCAGGAAGGATAATGGTCCATAACATATTCATTATTTTCAGGACTGTGCACTGAGGTTCTCCCACTGGTGATGTGACTGGAGGTTTTTTGTTTTCAATCATAACGTGACAAAAGATTCTGCGGCTCCAGAATGCCTTTCCTCCCAAACGCGGGCTTTGCACAGAGCTGGGGACCTCTCTGGAGTGGAGCCATTTGTCCCCTGTCGGTCCTCGATATGACTTTGAGGTTAAATGCAAAACCTTAAGTGCAGCCAGTTCTGGAGTAGAGGGTGGTAGAGGTGTGTGGTGCGTGACGAGGAGGACGGAAGGAGGGCGCAGACTTGGGAGAGCTGGTAGGTGGGTGGAAAGTGCCATGAGTCTTAGGAGTTTGGTGGCGGTAGTGTAAAGGCTGAGCTGAGGCTTGGGTCCGTGATAGCAGGGTCTGGGGGAACCCGGAGCTGAGCTTCACGGCGGCATTCCCTTCCAGCCTGTAAACCTGCTCCACTCAGAAGGGGCTTTTCTTGCCTTCCCAGCACAGCCTGCTTTCTGGCTGTCGGAGTTTAAAATCACTCTTGGCTGTTAATCCGTGAAAGTCCCTGTTAGAAATAAAATAAAAAATATATAAGGGAAAGTGCCACTAAAAAGGTTTATGAGGCAGCAGTTTAAGCTGCTGGCTTCTCCAAACTGAGGTGTAGCATCTGTTTCTCATTTACAACTTGCCTAAGCCAGTAACAAAACAACATCCCACCGGTCTGGCTGTGAGCTGGAGAGGGAGCGGGGCTCGCTCTGCGCCGGGTCAGAAGTGAGGAACAGGGATCCCGTCCTGCCTGCACCGTCCTGGCGGAGTGACCTCACCACCAGGCAGGGGGCTTGGGATGCCACTTCGGGATTTGGCAGAGGGAAGGGAGACGTCTGTCCGTTTTTTTCTAGAACTTCTTCTTTAGCTTAGGATTAATCATTTATTGTCAGATACTTACAGGTGCTTAGGCACCTAGTTCCATTAGATCAAAGCAAATTAGAGCCAAACAGAATGTAAAGACTTCTGACGGTCAGAGCCTTTGTCTCTGCGTGTTGCAGTTCCCGGTACATAAATCGAGGAAAAACTCTTATCTCCCAGTGTGTTATGAAGAGATAACGTTTAGGATGTTGAGATCTTATGGGAGGAATGTCCTACAATTTCCAGGCCCTGATAGGTCATTTTTTGCACTTCGTCTCCGAGTATCATTGAGGTGCCTGGTTTGTGCTGGTGGGGAATGGGAGATCTGCTCATCCCCGGAACGACGTTCGCAGGGAAAGTGCCCTTTTATTTTGTGTGCAAGCGTCTTGCGTAGCAAAGTCTCAAGCTACTGCAATATTAAAACCCGCTACTAATTTACAGTTGCGTTATTTTGGCCAGACAGTGGCAGAAGTGGAAACAAATCTCACTCCTCTTGCTTAGCTTTCAGAATATATAGTTTTGGAGGCAGCATCTTTTTGCTCTTTTCTTTGCTCCTTTATTGCAGTCACACAGATGTTTGAAATATTTTCACGTGGTTTTCAATGGAAAATTTAATAGACTGCTTCCAGTTTTACGGTATTTTGTACACTCAAAAGATCAGAAAACTATCCTTACACATTTTTTTTCATTGCCTCTAGCTGAGAACTCCTGAGCCTTAACTTGTTTATGAAATGACCGTCAAGGATGAAATACCATTTTTTTTTTTTATTTAATGTCACCTTTCTTTAATGCCCTTAAGTCGGTTTTGGAAGCCTTTGGGGTTCAGGAAGGAGTGACTTGCTTTCCTACGGTGGATGGCAAAGCTCCCATCACACTGGCCTCCTGCTGCAGGAGGGTTTTGCAGCTCTGGCTGTTGTCAGCCAGCCTCATGCCTGATGTTGTGGGAGCTGGACCTGCTTAATCTCCTCTTTCATGCAAGAGGCTTCGGTTCTTAATCAGGAAAGGCCTGAAGTGAAATTTCTTTGTGCTGTTTTGTCTCAGCCCCCACTCCTTCCCTTCTCCTCCTCTGGACTCCCACTGAGCAGCCTCTCCCCGCTCCCACAGCTCAGCATCCCTCGCTTTTTCTGCTTGTCTCCCGAAATGCATTTGCTCTGGCCTGGCAGGGTGATTGATAGGCCTGTAAGGCTCTGGCTGTAATATACTTCTGAATTTGCATTTAACTCAGAAGGATGCATTCCTGGAGCAGCTCTCGATCGCATCCCAGAGGTGTGGACAGACTTTGATCTGCCGCAGAGCTGCTGCTGCCCGTTAGTTTGACTCACTGAGCTGGTCTGGGACATCATCTTCCTCCCGCGCGGGGCTGGCAGGGTGCCTGTGCAGGCTGGGCTCGCTGCTTCCAGGCCAGTGGAGGAAGGCTCAGGGTGCCTGAAGGGGCTGGCTCCGGAGAGCTGGTGGCTTAAGGTTTTGAAGCCCAAAGGGTGCTGTGAAGAAGGCAGAGACCCGGCACCTCAGATCCCAGGGGCATCAGGGCTTGCTTGGCGTCTTCTGGGCTGGGTCTCCTCCTCACCTGAGGGTCTCTCCGGTGAACACCCACTGACAGGAGATCTGCAGGTGCCATCGCTTGTTGACAATTTTGCCGTTTTCATTGCATGAAGGGACATGCCGCGCCCCCAGTCATGGCCCAACATCCACCCCACTGATAACGTCCTGAGATATGGTTGTACACAAATTAATTAGATTTTGTCTCAGCCCTCCCTCCTCTGTGAGAGATCCCTCCTCAGTATTGGCTCCTCAGATCCAAGGGTGGCCACATTTTCCAAGCCGTAAGACCTTTGCAAATGCTATTTGCTGAAGGAGGCTCCGAGCGGATTGCACATGCCAAACCCTTTGCTACAGTTCCTAAGAGAAAAGGCCAGTTTTGCAGACTAGACAGAATTTCAGAAGGCCCGGGGAGGATCAGGATTAGGGTGCTTAATCCCATCTGTGAAATACCCATCCCTGCTCCTCTGGATACTGACTGCAACCAAATCCTCTCATCCTTGGGCGTCCTCCGCTCCCCAGAAGCCCAGAGCAGGGAAGAGCATTGCTTTAGAGATAGAAGGGGCAGTTCAGGTCCCGCTGCCTTGCCCACCCCAGCAGCCCCCAGCTCAGGAAAAACTGTGCGAGCAGCAGCGCGGAAGCACCGCAGCGAGCTGGGCGGGCGTCTCGGAAAGGCCGGAGGTGTCGGAGCAGGGTAGGAGGCGAGAGCAGATAGAGCAGAAATTAGCATCGCCTCGGAAATGAACGGCACACCAGCGTGATTTTACTCAGATAAAGCGGCGCGGAACCGTACCTGGTAGCGAGAGGGAAGCACTTCCCATGCTGATCAGTCTCGCTCCGAAGCGGCGCACAGCCCAGGGGTGTAAGAAGCGAAATGGGATTAGGAGGAAGCCTGGGCAGTGCAGAGTGTGGCTGGGAGCAGCCTGTCGCCCTCCTGGAGCAGCTGATAACGCGCCGCCGCTGCTGCGGGAGGGCAGGGCGAGAGCTTGTGTCTCTGCAGATAAAACCCACGGCGAGCTCAGAGCGGGGAGGATGTCCTCGATTTGTTCCCCGAATAGCGGTGTTCCTTCTGCGACTGCAGGGAGAAAGGCAGTGCCGGTCCCAGAGCAGGGGCACTGTGATGGGGGGTTCTTTATTTCTGGGCTTACCCTGCAGCCGCACGGGTGTCTCAGGCTGGTCCTGAGCACGGAGGGTGTGCGGGGACACCAGCCCTGCCGCAGGGGCAGGCAGGCTGAGACCTGGCCAGACCTGCTGTAACCTCTCCTTCTCTTTTATTGCTCCCCAGGACTGTCCCCAGCTCTTCCCCACAGAGGAGATCCTGATCCCGGTGGGAGAGGTGAAACCCATCACGCTGAAGGCGAGAAACCTGCCCCAGCCCCAGTCGGGCCAGCGCGGGTACGAGTGCGTCCTCAGCATCCAGGGCGTGATCCACCGCGTGCCTGCCCTGCGCTTCAACAGCTCCAGCGTCCAGTGCCAGAACAGCTCGGTGAGGCACGGGGGGAGAGAGGGCAAAAAGCTGCCCAAAATGGGTGTCAGCTCTGAACAGAAGGGGATGGGCTCAGCCACGGGGAGAGCGAAAAATCCGGGAGTTAAAACTAATCCTGAATTCCAGGTGGGAACCTGGGTGTACGAGGTGTTTCATTATGGTGCCAGCCAGGAGGAGATCTGGCTGTTCCCTGTCTGACTGGGGGGGGTCAGCAAGGGGAAGGGGATGAGGAGGAGGAGGAGGAGGAGGAGGAATGCAGTGAAGGTGTTGAGGCAGGCTAATTCGCACAGGGGAGATAAGGCAAATCACAGACCCCTTATCGGGAGCCGTCGAATTCCGGGTCACGGCAGCTGGATGAATACAGTCGTGCTGGAAAACAGCGTGGAGCAGGGAGGGAGGGGGAAAGGAAAACTGCTCAGCGCTGCGGGGAGAGGGAAATTATCTGAATGATGCTGCTGGAGAAGCAGGCAAGGGAGGATAGCTCTCCTCCGTAGGATGGGGCTTAGGCCTGCCTGGCAGGATTTTACCCCAGAACACTCAAACTCCCTGTGGCAGGTACTCAGGGATGCCAAAACACATACGGCAAATGCAGGTCAGCCCCCGAGCTGCAGCCCACGCTTGGGTCAGACCCGGCACGCGTCAGCCCGAGGGTGGGCAGGGAAGAGCCGGGTCCTTCCCCTCCCTGTCCTGCATTCGGGGAGGTCCACAGGCAGACAGGGCACATTCAGGTTGTTTTAGGCAGCAGAACAGGGTCTACTTTAATATTCAGTTGCAGAAGTTCTTAAATTGTTAATGAAGTTTTGAATTTTTAAAAATTTTGCTGGATATTTATATATCACTGGCTGTCTTTGGGCCTTGCAGCATGGTGGGTAATAAATGTATTAATACTATATAGTGCTTTCCCTATCCAAAGCGATTTATAAACATTAGAGGAGCACTTTTATTCCTGTTAGGCTGATAGGAAGTGGTAAGTAGAGAATGTAAGGGCAATTCTGTGCTTGCAGCTCTCTCACTGGTACAGAATATCTAGTTTCACACCAACTTAGTAAAACCCAGGCAAGGTCAATCAGTACAAGCCAGTGTAAATTAAGACTGTACAACTATTGCACGGGGACAGTCAAAGCAAGCCTGCTTGGGTTTAACCATCGTTCCCTCATCCCAAAGAGGATTGCAAGGCTCGCTCACCTTTTTAAGTCATTTTAGCAGCTCTTGGTTGACTTAAAGAAAGCATCAGGCCTCATCGGTGCTAATTGTGATAATGGGAATTTCAGAATACACTGGGAGTTCACCTAAAGCATCCAGATTCACTCAGCCATGGCCCCCAGGATGTCCATGAGAAGGTGAATAATTCAAGCCAGTGCTATCCTAGATGAGGCTGAGGCAGAGACTGGGAAAGGAACCTCTCTTTTTTTTTCTCAGCTGTGGCCTATTTCGTCAGCCAAAGCCGTGCAGCGTGATTTTTAACCTCCCAGTCCCGCTAGGGTGCATGGTGACTGGATGAGAAGATAGCCTGGAGGCAGCAGTCCTTCCAGTCTGGTTAACTGGAGGGGCTGTATCGATAAGCTAGAGACTGAGTGGCAAGAGAAACCACTGAGAGTGGAATAATTAATCTATTATCTCTCACAAGGACTAGATCTGATTTAATTATCTGCTCCTGGTAAGGAGGAGGGAGTCAAAGCAGGACCCTGGAGATGAAGAGTAGAAGTGTGGTGGTTCAGACGTCAGCACGTGTTTTTAAGGAGAGAATGATCACAGTTTCTTTTTAAAAACCCTCTTGCCCTGTTAGTGTCTCTGACATCCTCCCAAGCATTTCATTTTCGATCTTCTCCCCAGTACCTCTATGATGGGATGGACATCAGCAACTTGGCAGTGGACTTTGCTGTGGTTTGGAACGGGAACTTTGTTATCGACAACCCGGAGGATCTGAAAGGTAACGTGGGCTGGAGTTGGCCTTCAAGCTGCGGGAAGACGAGCGGTGATGGGGGCTGGAGGGTGGCTGCTGGGGCAGAGCAGCCTCAGCTGCAGCTGCAGGTGGGGGCATCGTGGTCCCGGGGGCTCCTGCCTTGGATGAGGGCAGGTCGCTGCTCCGCTGGCCCCGCTGCTCACCAAGCGCCGCTGACGCAGCCTCGGCTTTGGAAACCACACGTGTGAGTCCCCTCCGCGGCTCGTTAAATAAAAACTCAGCCAGTGCCTTTGCTCCTGAGTCCACGAACAGCTGTAGCCGGTATGAAAATGCCAATTCTTGCCCTCGTCCTGAGCGCCTGTCCCCTCTTTCCCGCAGTGCACCTCTACAAGTGCGCGGCCCAGCGCGAGAGCTGCGGGCTGTGCCTCAAAGCCGACCCCAAGTTCGAGTGCGGGTGGTGCAGCGGCGAGGCCAAGTGCACGCTGCGCCCGCACTGCGGCGCCGCCTCCGCCCAGCCCTGGCTCGACTGGTCCAGCCGCAACGTCAAGTGCTCCAACCCTCGCATCACCGAGGTAAGAGCCCGCGCCGTCCTCCGGCCCCTTCTCCTCGCTCCCGAGGCGGATCTGTGGCGGTCTCACTCCCCCCTGAAAATCCACCCTCGTCCACCCGGCGCTGAAGAACGGAGAAAAAAACCGCTCTGCTGCTTCCCGTGCGATGGACGCGGGGACCTGCTGGGGTGGGCACCCCGCTGCCCCACCACACAGCCTGCACTCACCAGTGGCACTACCAGCATCGGGGTGACCGCTATGGGCTGTTGCAAGAATGCTAATTAAACCAGGGAGCTAATTAGTCTATAGTTGATGCTTCCGCGATGTTTCTGTTCAGACCACTGAGGGATGCGAAATGGCTCCCAGGAGCATTTTTACCGGTAAAGTAGCACTCGGTCTGTTAATGTTGCTATTAGGAGTGACACTCGTATCAGGTGGGAATGAAAGATTTTGGTTTCTCACTTAACTCCCCCCAAAAAGCCTCCCTTGGCCCTGAGCATGAGTCCCTGTTGCGGAAGGCAGAGGCCGTGGGTGTAAAACAGTGTTGGGCCAAAGTTGCACTGATGCTCATGGCAGGGCTTCTCTGCACACAGACTTCTGCTGGCTGAAGAGGAACCCCAGTACGGGTGGAAGTTTCCTCTTAACTCAGATTAGTTTCTACGCCAGCTTAGCTAAACTGGCTCATGCTGAGACCCCCTGGGAGGAAGGCACCAGCCTCATTTTTATGGAGGAAGGGAGGAAACTGCGGAGGCTGGTGGTGCCGTGTCCGGGCTGACTGGAGGAGGACGTTGCTGAGGAGACGCAGGAGCGTTACCAGGCCTTTGGTATTTCTTGCGTAGACCTTCTCCCCAGCCACGTCACACCTTCATGGGCAGGTATTTCTCTTGTGCAGTGCCTGGGGCTTGTGAGGCTGCGGAGGGGCCGGCGGTGCTGACGGTGCAGACGTGGAAGCGTTAAGAACTGTTGAGAGTCTGTCCTTTCCTTGGGCGGTCGGTGTGTTTGGCAAGTCAGAGGTATCTTTATAGAGAGATAAAATGAGCCTTAAAGGCTTGTCCGGATATTCACCTTGTCCTGCTAGGAGTCAGAACCCCAAATTTTCTTATCCAAGTGCTGTTCTGCCTACACAGGGTTATGCTACAAGATGCAAGAAGCAAAACAGCCTCCGCCTGAGATTATCTTCACCATGAACCGTTCAGATATTTGTAACATTGACGGAGTCTTAGATTTATTTATTCACCCCTCTCTGAGCTAAGCAAAGAGCAACACTCTGCTCCAGCAACTTGCATCTGAGCACTGCCAGGCTGGCTCTCGCGGCTGGCTGCGGGCATGGCGCTGCCACCGAGAGTTTTATCACTGTCCAACTTGAAAGCAAGACTTCTGGTCTCTGTCCAAGGAGAAAAGAGCAGAGCTTTGCCATTGCAGGTTTCTTGTCTCCATAAGTAGGTCTGTGTCTCAGCCTTCAAAGGAGAAAGCACAGGGTGCCTCGCCAGGGGATGTCAGGAGATGGCCCTGAGTGGATTCGGAGATGAGAGAATCGAGTAGGAAACGTCTGGGCTTTCGCTGGCAGATCAGCTTATTCCACAGTGAGGGGCAGCGACAGAAAATGCAGGTTTCTGGGGGAGGTATTGTCCTGTGGCCTCTGCTGACTCTGGCAGCACTGTGAGCTGTTGTGAATTTATCATAGCTCTTGCAGTGTTTGCTGGTTTTCCTTGAACTCCACCTGCCACCCTTCTCTTTATGAATTCACAACTTTTTTTTTTTTTTTTTCATTAAAGTCAAGTTTACAGCTTGTAGAAAAAGAAGGGGGAAAGCAGAGGGAACTAGTGGCCTTTTTTGTGTGCTTCGAGATCCACTAATGGGCACCGTATAGGGCTAAAAAACTTGTACAGAATCCTGCTCAGTTCTTGAGCCGTCAGGTCTATAAAAAATGGCAAAGCCTCAGCAGAGACCCCACAGGGTCGATATTGCTGAACCCAAACCTCTCGACAGCACAGGATCCCTCCTGTCATCCCCCTTCCCCTGCAGAAAAGTGTATGAGGTTGTCTTGGAGACCATGAGACCTTCACAGCCTTTGCTGCTGTTGGGTCCTTTTTACTGGCGTCCGGGTTTTGTGAGCATTTCGGGTACCTGGTGCTGCAGAGCTGAGCTCTCACGCCTGGGAAGAGGCCCCTGCCCTGCCGGGACCGACCTGCTCTGGGCAGTTCGAAGTGGGGGCTGCGTCTGCTCCCCAGTGCGCCCGCACTGACACTCGACTGGGGAGCGGCGGCTGCTCTCATAGCAGGGCTTGCACTGCAGCCAGGATCACTGGGTCTAAAAGAGCCTTTAACATGGGCTGTTTTCCACTTCTTTTGCATCATTTGGCTGGGTTCACTCTTTCTGCCAAGCAGGAGGTCAAGGGCCTGGCTCCCAGGCGCCAGTGCCTTTGGGGGATGCACAGCTACTAAGAAGAGATCGTGTTTTAATAGTCATAAAAGTAAGTGAGCAGTAGGATATACACAGCCCTTTTCTTTTTCGGAGTGAGAGGCCCAGCTGTCACCAACAGTGTCCCTTTCACAGCATAAAACTTCTACACGGTCTGTGGTCTTAGCAATAAATAAATAAAAATCAGTTTCCTCGCGAACAAGCGGCACTCTGATCTCCTATTCATTTATTTGCAGGCCTCATTAATATAACATCAGTGCAACAAACAGCTGAAGGGGGGGGCAGTGTCAGGCTGAATAATGGAGTTGCTCTGCTGAGATAACAATTAGGTTCTGAATGTGCTATCAGCTAAGGCAGAGACAAGGAGGGATCATGCCGGGATGACAATGCTTATGTGCTGGTTCCCTGCTGGGCTCATCAGCTGGGATCCAGCTCGCTTAGAGCAGGATGAAAAAAGACAAAGAGACTGAAGGTGGATGACATTTTGGGAGGGGGCAGGGGTTATGCCATTTATTCTGCAAGCCGGGTGCTCTCTCCGTGCCCCAACAGCTGCCAAGTGGTTATTGTGCAGAACGAACGGTCTTCGGCTCCCAGCTTGCCTCCAGCTCCGGGAGGAGAGCCCCGGCCCACTCGCAGCCAGCCCTCAGTCTCCCTCTCTCGTGCACAGACACTTCTTCTGGAGGCTAAATATTGTTTCATGTTGGAAACGCTGAACCGTGCAGCCAGCGACGTGAGGCTGAGAGCAGTTAGCTGCACCGTCACGGCAGCAGCTTCTGCGGGCTGGGGAGGGAGGTGTGCGAGCAGCATGTCGGGGATCCCGTGGGATCCCTCAGATCCAACCTCGGGGATCCCTGGGATCCCTCATCCCAACCGCGGGGATCCCTGGGATCCCTCATCCCAACCTTGGGGATCCCTGGGATCCCTCACATCCCAACCTCGAGGATCCCTGGGGTCCCTCACATTCCAACCTTGGGGATCCCTGGGATCCCTCACATCCCAACCTCGGGGATCCCTGGGGTCCCTCCCTTGGTTTCAAGTAGGAAGCAGCAGCAACAGGAATGCAGTGGTGCATCTGCATCCCTGAGGTGATGTAAGGACAGAGCGTGGGGGTAACCAAGCTCCTACCACCACCCACCTCATCTCTGTATTTGGCTCCTTTCTGTGAGTAATACAGCGCTTCACACTCGCATGAATCCTTTCCCTGAGCAGCAGGAACACACTTGTCAGAGGCAGTGGATCGCCGATTTGTTTCAAGCAAGGGGAGAGGTGACCTGCTCAGAGTAATTCAGGAGATAGCAGAGCCAAAGGTCCTGCCTCGCACACCCTGCTCTAGATCTCAGTGTCTTTCAGACAGCTTCAGTTTTGCAAACAACCAGAAAAAACTTCCAGCAGAGGTGCAGACCCCTAAACAATGGATGGACCATTCCTGGTAATGGCCTTGGTTTTCCTTAGCTGCCCTTTGCAGGTTCTTTTCATCCTCCACAGACCTCTGAGCGAAAAGCCGTTCTACTACAGTGTAGTTCTTGAAACTGGGGAATATTTCTTCCTAATCCCATCTGATTAAGAAGAAATCTGGCCTGTCATTGCCTCCAGCCCTGCAGGCTGAGCAGCTCCCCAGCACAGCCACGCCGGGGGGTTCGGGCAGCCCACGCCGGCAGCAGCTGCCCCGGGCTGGGTTTGCTGCCCTGGCCGAGCATCCGCAACACGACGAGGTGACCCAGGGATGCTGCTCGGAGGGGTCGTGGGCACTCGGTGCAACGGGACCTTTAAGACTTATCTTCTTTCTGCAATTTTGACTGAATCTCTCCAGCTGTAATTAATTGAATGCATCTGTTCTAACCCTGGGGCTGCTTTATGGCACAGTTACTTCAAAACTGTTCAATTAGCGGCCACTAAAATCTAGGTCGAGTGGAGCTCCATATTGGGGATTTTCCAGGTCAGGACATTTTCAAAATACAGAATCAGCTCTGCTTTGTTTGGTGAGGCCGGTTGGCTCCGCTGGTTGTGGTGAGGTCGGGAAATGGCAAACTGTGACTTTTTCTGAACAGCGATGAGACAACAAGCCCGGCGGTGTAAGTGCTCCGGCAAACGCATTTTAACATAATCTAGAGCTGCAAAGGACAGTTGTAACTGTCAAGTATGTGAACTGGTGATTCCCAACTAGCGATGTAAACATTACCCGCGCAGGCCTTCAGGACCTGGTGTGATGCAAAGTGTTACTTGGTTTTGGAGTGTCTTTTACGGGCACGTAGTGCTGCACGGAGCTAAATGATACGAGACATGCCACGCGGAGTGAGTTACAGAAAAACCCGCAGCACAACAGGCAGCGTCTGGGGAGCAAATTAGAAACCTCAGTGGTGCGGTGCAGGAGAGAGGGAGGTGGAAATCAAAGCCTAGGCAGAGGAAGGAGGTGGAGGTTTGGTGTACGGGGCAGCTCCTGGCTCTGCTGGAGCGGGTGAAGCCCGGCACGTGTGGCCAAATTCGAGAGCAGCACCTTAGAGAGGTGGAGAGCAAGAAACAAAGAGTGGCGGGTGTGTGTGAGGGAGAAGGACGATGCCTTCAGCTGGGATTTGAAAGGCAGGGAGGTGCTGAGGGGAGCTGGGGGCCGCAGAAGCAATGGGGAACTGGGGTGTCCTGACGGCGCTCGCAGTTCGCACGGGGAGGGGGGGACGGGGGAGACGTGCCCCGTGGCACTGGAGAGTGCAGGGGGTCCCACAAGAGCTGCTTTGGGGTGCACTCAGGTGGCCAGGCCGTGCTCTCGTGATGGGGCTGGGGTTTTGCCACCGTCCTAACCCGCTCACGTCCAGGGAGCAGCGAGCCCTTAAGAAGGTGAAAGAAAAGCAGCCATCCATCTGGAAACGCCAAGGAAAAGGGTCTGAAGAGCTCGAGTCTTGCCAAAGACAAGGGTGGAACAAACAGGCGTAAACAAGATTTATCTATTAAATTAATTAAATTGCATTATTATGGATTATGTTTATTTATCGATAACAGCTGTAGCATGGGGAAGATTAGTAACTCACCCAAGAGCGACAACAGACTGGTGGTAGATTCAGGACAACTATTTGAGAGTCTTGGGTCCAAATTTTGTGACTATGCATTATTGTAATTTATACTCCTAATTGAAGAGGATATTGTCCTTAATGAAAGTCTATAGAAGCAGAATGATTATGGCTGAGGCAGGCTATAAACAGGCAGCTTTAAAGCACACACCTCACCCTTTAACATTTCTAAGTCATTTGAGGTGCCAACTTGCTAATAAAATGTGACATTAACGTTCAGCGAACAGCCAAGGCAGAAGTTAAAGTTCTCCAAAGCAGCAGGCTACTTCTGGAAGGTGACTTACCATCTTCTGTATATATAAAAAAGGAGCCAGACTTATCCTGCAAGGCTTTCTGGGGGATGGCGGTGCCTACGCCCCTCGGCCAGCTCAGGGACCTCGATGTCCTCTCCTGGAGCGCAGCGCAGATGGATTTCAGTATCCTTGGGCTCCTCCAAGACATCCAGAGGAGCCATGAGAAGGTGGCACTGACGTGCCTTGGCAGCAGGAGCAGGTGGAGGTGGCAGCACTCAGCCCCCCTGCGCATCCTGCAAAGCCAAAGGCTGTTTCCAAGCCAGGTGTGGGGCTGAAGCAGCGCGGGTGCTGTGGGGACACCAGCTCAACTTCCCTTGCTTTGTTTCCTTCTAGATCCTGACAGTGTCAGGCCCCCCAGAAGGAGGGACGAGGGTGACCATCCGTGGTGTGAACCTGGGCCTGGATTTCTCCGAGATCGCCCACGGGGTGCAGGTTGCCGGGGTGCAGTGCACGCCCCTGCCCGAGCACTACGTCGTCGCAGAACAGTGAGTGGCCTCGCGGAGCTGAGCTGGCCCCGCCACGGGTCCCCGGGGCTGGGCACCCTGCACGGAGCCTCTTCCCTGGCCCCCAGCAAAGGTGCAGGAGGCCAGGAACTCATCCAGACCCCGCGCAGCATCTCCCCACCCTGCAGGGGGGGGCTCTGGAGGTGGATGGTGCCTGGACCAGGGCGTGCTGTTCCCACGCAGGGATGAGGTGCCTGGGTGCTCTCTGCGGGGGTTAAGCAGCCCTTTAAGCTTTCATTAAGTGTTTTGTTTCCTTCCACACCGAGGTTCCTGCTTTGCTAAGCAACTTTTCTGATGAGCACCTTGCTGTTGACGCTGAGCCTCTCTGCCCCCTCTGCTCCCCATCGCACTTGAAATTCAGCCGGCGCCGCCGCCTGCACGCAGCCATTTGTTAGGCGGGTGAGGCGGTGACAGCCGCTTAATCCGAATGGGCCTCTGCTGGAGTCAATTCATTTATTTCACTAAGAAAAATGTCAACCAAAAATTAGAAAATAGGCATGTTACAGAGGACGGGCAAATAAACCTCCCGAAGTGACACATGCTCCTGTTGCGGTCTGGAGGGGGCGGGGGGGTTGTTCTGGTGTAGCCGAGGTGCTGAGGGGTGTGTTGGGGTCATTTGTGGAGGGCAGGAGAGGAGCAGTGTGTGATGTCTCCCCCCTTGGGTTGTCCAATCTCTCCTGCTGCGGAGCGGGGTCCTGCTGCTTGTGGTCAGGGTGGGGGAGCCTGGGCCCCGCGAGTGATCCCGGCAGCAGGGTCTGCCCCAGCCCGAGGAGCAGCTCAACAGGCGGTGGAACGCACTTGGTGGATCCCGGGCAGAGCGGAGGGACCTGTCACTGACACACGTTGGCGTTGGTTTGGTTTTTGCTCGCTCCTTGTCTTTGTTTCCCCATCGGTAAGATGGACGTGACATTAATGTCCCCTTCCGACCAGCGAGGAGGAGGATGGTGCGGTATCTCGGTGCACCGTGCGGGATGAAGGGCGCTGTGGGCCTGCAGAGCATCGCGGGTGTTACTGCGGGAAGGGCTCCGAGCGCTGCACCAACAGCACTGTCACTGCTAGTGGTTTGGGCTGTTCTGCTGAGCAGTATTTTGTTTTAGTTTATTTTTCAAATAAAGGATGGAAGATTATAAAATTATCCTCCTTTGATGATATGAAACCCTGATTTTATAATCATGACTCTAATTACGGCTCTTCAGCTTTCAAAGTTTGTTAACATCATTAAAACATTTACCCTGGGCAGATAACAGCAAGCGTTAGCATGAGAGCTGCCTTTTAAAGATGAATACAGATAAAAGGACCCTCTTAAGGGTTCTGTGGGCAGACTGAATTCCAAGACTGTAATGACTCACCATATGCTCCAGCCACGCAATCTATCAGCCAGCAATTAGGTTAATGTTGGTGAAAGGGCCACTTAGCCCAGCAATCAGCACCCTACAGCTCTGCCGAATGCATCATTTTGTAACAAGGTACCTGCTGGGAATTTGGCTTTTATCAGGAATCCGGATCAGGTGTAGCAGGTCGCCCGTGCCCCATCCTATGCCCCATCATGGCTGGTATTGCACGGCAGCTGGTCCTTTACAGGCAAAATAGTTGAGTCTTTGGTGTTTCTTCCCATATATAGTGCTTGGTGCATCCTTGCTTCTTGTGGGATAAAACCTCCACTCCTCTTCTGCCCATGAGGGGTCAGGGATCACTTCACCTTGCTCTGTTTGCCTGCGGGCTGGCAGGAGCAGAGATCACTGCTCCCACATGCCGGTCCCCCACCCTAACCCCCAGCCCAGCAGCACAAAGACCCTGCCTGCTCGCCCCACTGCCCGTCTGCAGAAGTAATGAAATAGAGGAGAGAGGAGCATGGGCAGTGTCTGGCTGAAAGGCAGGGAGAGGAGCACCTGGCAGATTAAGGCGCACAGCTGAGATGCTTCAGCTCCTGTTCTCCAAAGGCAGCGTCTCTCTCTGAGCAGCCCGGTTTGATGTGCAGCACTAAGGACTTTCACATTACAGCTCTTTACCAGCACGTATGTATTTCATTAGGGCCTCCTGGCATCACCTGCGCGTGCTGTCGGCAGGTTCTTTTTCCCTTTTGTCTTTATTTTATTTGCAGTGAATTTAATGCTGCTGAAGGCAGCTGAAACTCTGCCTTCGCAAATTAGAGCCTTTTATGCATTTGCACGCGATCGGCAGAAGAGCGAGCGTTTTCCTGCTGCTCTGCAAGAGCCCCGTCAGCCTCCCCGGGGAGGGAGGGATGCTCTGGCTCTTCTCTGCTCTCGCTCTCGGGGACAGACACCAACAAGTGTCTCATCACTCATGTTGCTGCATCCCCAGCCCTGAGGCAGGTTACTCCTGTCCTGAGGTTCCTTGTGCCTCGCAGGATGCTCTTGGATTTGTCTTTCCAGTGTTGCCGTGAGAGCGAGCAGCATCCATCCCCTTTAGGTGCAGCTGCAGAGCCCTTTGCAAACCTCCCTCAGGCCTCCTGGCACTTCACTGGTCTCATCTCCTGCAGGTGTTACGCATTCCCAGTGCCCTGGGATGTTTGGATTACAGGGTGCAGAATGAGGGTTTCCCCATCTTCCAGCCTGGCCCGCTGTGGTTAACCCCAGCAGCTCTCCTGCCTTTACGGCTTTCCCTTCCTCAGGACGTGCCCACAGGGCTGAGCTGGGCCACGTGAGGAGCAGGACATCGGTGTCTTCTGGTGCCACGAGCTCCTTTTACCAGCCCCGGCGTGTTCTGTGTGTGCCGCTGCTCCCCGTGGCTGTCGCTGTCATCCCCGGGCAGGTGCCATGGGTGGGGGGTTTAGGTCGCTGGAAGGATTGCTGTTAAAGGTGATGGCAAAAGTGGCTTTAAAACGATGTTGTAAAAGCACGACCTAACAGAGTTCAGTGGCGAGGTTCACCGTTACTGCACGGCACAATCCTTTGAGCAGTGATTCAGAACTGTCGAGGCACAAATCAAAGTTACCAAGTGAAATCAAGGTTACCAAAATCCAAGTTACCAAGGCAAAGGCAAGGTTACCAAGTCTCGAACCAAGGTTACCATACTGCAGGGTGGTGCGTGACATCGGTCGCTTACCAAGGACCGGCCGTGGGTGACAGGTCCCTGTGCCTCAGGGATCAGCCTTGGGAGGTTTCCCAGCCCGAGGGGACATCGCCCCCAGGGAGAGCTCGGGGTCTCATATTAGCCCTTATCAGTCTCGCATGAGCCCTTAGGTCTCACATTTATGGAATAAAGGGGTTGGCTCCTAGTCAGATCACATGCGGTGAGAAAGGTTTGCATGAGACTCCTCGCACCCACAAATTTCTTTGTTCCTTGATAAACGAGGCTTGGAAAAAAACACGTTAATCCCACGGTCGGTGATCCAGGGTCATGCACCGACGCTCACTGCGTCACTCTGCTCCTTTGTGGGTTTGCGGAGAGTGGATTGAAACTAAAGGAGTTCTTGGCCCGGCTACGGCTCAGGCCTCTCCCTCCTTTGGAGCCCGTAGCAAACCACCCCGAGCTCGGTTAAGGGGTTGAGTGCATCCGTCACGGGAGGCTTTCCAGTTTTGATTAACTGGGAGACTGCAGTGTGAGCTGTTCCCTTAATGAACTCATCTGTTACTCTAAGGACTTCGCACTCACTTTGCTACTGGCTAATATATTGCCATTAGTGCTCTGCTTTGCTCTGGAGTTTACAGCTTGTAATAATTATGTCTAATTTTGATTTTTTTTTCCCTTAAATTACTACATGAGGTAAAAATAGACTCAGTAATTAACTACTTCTAAAGAGGCAGATATCAAAGTTAAAGAGGGGTGAAAAAAAGAGAAGGAAAAAAGCTGCACAGGGCACTGTTTGCACCTCCTGCCAAAGCCTCACTGGGTCATTTCTGCTTCCAGGATCGTCTGTGAAATGGGGCAGGCGCTTCCAGGGATCAGCTCCGGCCCAGTGCTCCTGTGCATCGGAGAGTGCAAGCCCGAGTTCACGGCCAAGTCCACGCAGCAGTACATGTTCGTGGTGAGTGTCCTTGCCGAGGGGAGCAGGGGGCAGCACACGTCCTCCCTGGGAACAGCCGGGCTCTGCGACCGCGTGTATCAAAGGGATGAGGTTCAACACCGGAACACAATCCCAAAATTGCCTTTTTTTTTTTTTTCCTGATGCTTTCCCCACGGCATGGCACAATTTCTTGGTAGCCCAGTCAACGAGCCCAGTTTTCAGGATCTAGAGCTTGCACCGCTCGACAGAATAAATGGGATTTATGTGGGAACCTAAACCCAAGGATTCCCACGGCGCTCGGTTTCAGCTTTGCACCTCCAAAATAGCGATAACCCTCCGAACCGCGAGGCTCGGTTCCTCCTTGCAGAGTGCATTGTTGTGATCCCAGCAGGAGCGTTACACAAAGCGTAACTTTGCTCCGTACCCGAGGACTTTCTGTGCGTGACGCGGTGTCAAGGAGTTGGCGTTGGCACTCAGAAGTTTCCTTTGTTTGCAATGGACGTTGTTACTTTGGTGCTTAGTCAATGGGGCTGAATCTAGGGCGCTGCTTCTTGCTGGATTCGAAGATGTTTCTGTACAGACGTGTCTGCACGTACAGGCACCAGTAGCCCTTTTTACAAGAACACAGAATCGCACGACAGGAGAGCAAGCGCCAGAGTCCGTCCTACTGCCACACGGGTACTGATGTCCTGCTAGAAACTTAGTTTTAATCAACAGCCCATGAAACCTAAATATACCTGAGTTAGTTTCTGTGTCTAAATTTTTTCAGCATGATGCCCTTTGGGATAGAAAGGTAATTCTGGGATTTTTTTTTTATTTTTTTTTTCCCTCCCAGGATGGTGGTGGTTCAGCGTAACAGAGAGCTGCTCTTTGGGTTGGTGGGCTTCTGTTGGTTGAGTGGGTCCTTTCGGTTGTTTGATTAGCAGCCTTTTGATTCATAAACTTAAAAGTCACAGCTGAGGTTTCTCATATCTCCAGTTTTCCTTAAACAGGGCTCTTCATCCAGCACCATTGATTTTGTGCTTAGTGGAATCTGTATGCAGGGAAATGCCAGCCCTTACCAATTGTCCACAGTTTGTAAACTAATTGAGAGATAAATCAGGCTAGCCCCTGCCACCCTACCCATGGTATGACACCCCCTCCTGGGATTTCATTCATTCCAACAACACAGCAGGGGTGCAAAATATCACCGCATTTTCCTCGAATATGCCAGAAACGCCTCTGAGCATCCCAGGGCACTGGCGGTGCAGTCCCCAGCTTTGCTGTTATTGAAGGGCAGGTCCCCACGTGACACGAGGAGGATGCTCTCTCTTGCTTTGTGTGAAATAATAACCAGGAGCCAGCGGAAGGCAATTGTGGAGATGAATCTTGGAGTCGTACCTTGCAGCAACCTGGTGAGCATTTTGCCCACCGTTATCATCCTTTGCACTGTTGCTTCTGATTTCTAGCACTTACCCTGATTATATCGTTTCTTTTTTCGCCGGCATCTAAAACTTCCAGCACATCATTTCCTTTTGTTAGGTGGCCTCTATTTTTCTCTTTAGCGCCGCCACAAATTCCATTACAGCCGGTTTTTGCCATTAAAGTCAGTAGTAAAATTGATTGGTACCTTAAAGCAGAGCTCTGTTCTGACCCTGAGAGGGTTCATGCCTTGGTGAGCTCATCTGGTCCCTGACACTGTGCAGGAGCGATGCTGTCACCTTAATTACACCCGTTTTATCTGGGGAGGTGGAACCTTGGAGCTACTTTGGATCTGTAAATCTGTCATAATTATCACAAAATCATGAGTTGAAGATGGAAAATTCTTACTCAGCTCTCAGGTTTTCATCCGATGCTGGCCTCACCCCAGCCTTGGGAGGTTTTGCAGGTCTGTAGGAGCCCTCAGCTCTCCTGTCTTTCCCTTGTTTACAAGACTGACTGCGTGGGGTTACAGCCTGAGTTTCTATTTTTGGCAATGCTTTGAATTTCCAAGGATTGCAGTGCTTCGACAAGGTGATGCTCACACCAGAAACAGCAAGATGCTTGTAACCAGGAGATGCTTGCAGTTGCTTTTGAATGCAGAGGAGGGCTGTGCTTTCCAGCCTGCCTGCAGCTCTGTCACTGGTGTGTGTCTGGGAGCTGCTGGACCTCGAGGACGTGTTAAATAACTGCTCCTTTCTGTCCCCGGGCTCCCACGAGCAAAGTGGCCCCAGGGATGGAGCTGGAGGAGGAGGGGGCTGGTAGCAGGCTCTCGCTGTCTGGAGCGTTCATAGCGTTGCAGCTTGTTCCTAACTCACCTTGGGAGCGGTTGCCAGGGTTGGGCTGGAGACTAAAGGAGGTTTTTGATGGGTGATCATACGCTGAACATCCCTTGGAGGTTTTTTGCATTCTGGAATCACTCATCTTGGTTGTATGAAATGCTCCGGAGCCTACTCAGTGTAACTGTTGCTATTGCCATTCAGATTGTCTGGTATTGTCATTAGCTGGGGTAATCATAGAATATCCTGAGTTGGAAAGGACCTGCGAGGATCATCGAGTCCAACTCCTGACCCCAGCTGGGATAAGAGCTGTGAGCAGACCATGAGCAGGTGAAGGACGAGTCTTTCCCTCCCGTAATATTATTCCATAATTACCCACAACAGGGTGGATTGTGCGTTTTTCTCTGGTCTGTTCAGGACTCAGGGGTCAAACAGGCTTTTGGTCTTAAGCTGCTTTGGCAAATGCTGTGGCACCCAGAAAACACAGGTTGCATTGTGAAAACAGTAGAAAAAAAACAGGACAAACACATGGAGCTGCCAAGCAGGTGGTACCAGGGGAGTGGAGCTGGGAGGCTGCCAGCCTTTGCAGATGAGAGTCATAAAGAGGGTAATGTGAAAGCATTAGTAAAACAATTTGGTAATATCCACTGATTGAAAACAAATAAAAAGGTACCTGCTTTCTGCAAATTCTATTAAGGGGGATAAATAACTACCCCGGTGCAAGGCAGGATAAAGACGTGGCATTGCTGCAATAATATCACCGATAAAAAGTCGGGTGGGATCTGTGTTTGCCCACCGAGGACATCTTTCCATCAGCAATGGGAAGCAGGCTCTGCCCCCTCAATACTGTCACTGGTGGTTCCTATTAAGCTGGTGCTGCCTTTTGCTGAGGTAGTGCAGGTATTTCCCATTATCCAGCCCTGGTGGGGTTTTCTGATGCTTTGCCACATTGGCAAACTTGAAACATTGGGGTTCAAATTTCCATTGTGGCAATTTGCTTGGCTTGGGATATCTTTATGAAGTTGCGGTGCAGACAGCTTACCTTTGTTTCCGAACAAAGTTGAAGGTAAATACACATTTTTGCTGAGGCTTAAACGTGCAGTTGTTTTGTTGAGGTGCGTCTCCCTTCCAGAAGTGGGTTTGAAAATGGAGCAGGCGATTTGCCAGATGCCCAGGACACAACCCTCTTTTGCTTTTCCCTTTTAAAAAGGATATCCCCACCCAGCCAAAGCCCGAAGATCCTTGGGGGAAGGTGCTGACAGCTCCCCTCGCAGCAGGCAGGAGCGCTGACTTTGTCTTTTTCTTTCTCCAGACCCCAGCGGTGAGTTTTCTGAATCCCAGCCGCGGGCCGGAGTCGGGAGGGACCATGGTGACCATCTCCGGGCACTACCTGGGAGCCGGCAGCCGCGTGTCCGTGCTCCTGGGAAACCAGACCTGCGAATTCTACGGGTAAGGGGCTGAGCCGGGCCAGCGCGGGCTCCGGCCACGCACGTCCTGTTACCAGGGCTGCACCACCACGCGTCTGCTCTAGCTGAACCTGCAGCCACGGCAAAATTCACCTGGCAACCCCTGAAGGCTCCCATTCCCTCTTTTATTACGTGAAACCATCTTCTCTTTTATTATGTCTGAGCCTTGCTTGGCAAGGGGTGGGACTGCATCGCTCTAAGTGCTGCCCATTACTTCATTTTAATGCTGTTACGATGTTAATGGGTCCAAAAATCTCCAGCAAACATCCCTGCGATTGTAAAATGTTTATAGTAGTCATCAGTACTTGCCCCCAGCTTTGTTGACCTGAAGAAAAGATAACGTTTAGAAGAAACGTCTAGTTTCTCCCTTCACAGATCAGCAGCTTTGCGTTACGTTTATGGCAGCTGGTGCTGCAGGTACCTCAACCTCCCAGAAGGGGCTGTGAGCGAGGGGTGGGCTTCTGCGTGCAGAGCGAAGCGGGGATCTGCACGCGCCTGCTGCTGAGAAACTTGCGCAGCCATCAGTCTCCTCTGGGATTTCTCTGGCAAATTTGCTTTTTACCCAGCAGTGTAAACACAAGAGTTGACATTTGCAGGGTTTAATGGGTTTTCTTGGGGCTTAGTTAAAAAAAGATACATGCAGTATACATCTGTGTGCATCCCGTACACAGCTGTGCCCCGCAGCGGCTGGCAGGATGCGTTTCGTAGCGTGGGCGCAGCCTGTGCGGGAGCCAAGCAAAGGGCTGTGATGTGCAAAGGGATTCTGCCCCTCGGATCTTCACTTGGGCTTCCCAGGAGGACCCAAGGAGGTGTCAGGGAAAGTAAAGACCCCTGGAGGTGACTTTTTCAGCTGGAAGACTGAGAGGTTCTCCGACACGGGAGCTGGGGGCGATCAGACGTGGGAGCATGTGCTGGTTCTACGTCCATCCTAGAACGGGGCTTCAGGAGGTCTGGACGTGCCGAGGTCTTCAAGTGCAGATCAGTTCTCCAGGTGCTGAGCGCTGTCACCGATCCATCAAGATTTCTTCCTGTTTCCGAAGCGAAGATGCCAGATTGCTTCCTCAGATGCAGGCGGGCAACGGCGTTGCCACCACCAGAAGCAGCCTGCGAGCTGGCCTGAGAGCAGAACCAGCCCTGGAATTATAATCCCTGAAGTATATGATTATATTCAGGCAACCTGCAGATCCCGACCTGCCAAACCTGGACGAGTTTTGAATTCTCTGTGTGTTCGAATTACAGCAGGCAAGCAGAAACTTAAACAAAGCAAGTGGCAGTATATGAATGGCACCATCCTTCACGCGGGGTCACGCTGTGCACTTTGTTGTGCTTGGACTGTTTTGAGGCAACGAACTTCAATTGTACTCGAGGGTGTGGGGGAGCCTGATTAGATGAAGCAGTTTCTAATGAGATTCACTCTAATTACAGCTTCCTCTCTTCTCCCCTCTCTGATCGGAGGAGTGGGTAGATTCACCATGACGACATAATAATAGCACAGAAAGCTAATTAACTGATCACAGGGAGCTGCGAGCAGCTCTGCCAGCGGTGATGCGTCACTCTGGATCTCACGCCAGAGCTAAGCAGGCGCGGTGGAGTCTGGCAGGGCAGAGCAGGCAGCAGCTCTCCAGCTGCACGGGCATGCACGGGAACACTCTGAGAATCAGCAGGGAGGGTGGAGAGACGCGCTCCCTGCACAAGGATGCCTTCGTGGATAAATTAAACCGAGGTGGAGAGTGAGAGTAGGATGAGGGAGAGAGGAAGGGAGGGAGGAGGAGGAGAGTGGGAGGGGCTAGACAAGTAATCGCATCGATAGAAACAGTCATGTCCAGTTTGTCTCCGATATTTTCAGGGGTTGTTTCTGTTCCCGGGGCTGTGGGGGCCAGGCGTGCCAGGGTGTGAGCTGGGAGCGTGGTGGTACCTGCTGTTCAATCCCCCCTTGAAATGCCCGGTGCCTTCGGGAGCGTGGGGAGCGTGTGAGGGCCCTGGTAAGGGGAGCACACAGCACCCCCCTGCCCAGGAGAGGAAGGGGCTGTGCTGGGAGCAGAGCGGGGGCACAGCTGCACTCCAGCCTCAGCTGTACAGGCACCTCCACGGGTTTCTCAGGACGGCAAAGACCAGACGTTCAAGAGGGCCCATCTTTGATTTAAAACCAAACTGGCAGCGAGATGCTGAAGACTTGCCTGCCTGCTCCCCTGGGAGAAGCCAAGACTAAATGAGCCACGGAAACAGCGTGGCCTTGTTGGTGAGCTGGGGGCAGGTTTGGGCAGGCGGGATGGCCCGTGGGTGGCCGTGGAGGGACACTGGCCTTCCAGTGACATCAATCCAGCACTTCTCATCGGAGCAGCACCCAGGATGGCCACAGAGCTGTGAGGTTCCTCAGAGCAGCACCCAGGCTCGCCACAGAGCTGTGAGGTTCCTCAGAGCAGCGCCCAGGCTCGCCACAGAGCTCTGAGGTTCCTCAGAGCAGCGCCCAGGCTCGCCACAGAGCTGTGAGGTTCCTCAGAGCAGCGCCCAGGCTCGCCACAGAGCTCTGAGGTTCCTCGCAGCTCTGTCCCAGCAGCAGGAGCGTCATTGCTCGATTCTCATTCCCCTTCTCCATCCATCCACCCACCAGTGCCTTTGTGTTCTGGCAGCGCCTCGCTACCCTGCCACCTTGACCTTCTCCGGGGCTCCCATGGAAGCAGATGGTCTGTTGTGTCCAGCCAGCCAGCGCCGAGGCCGAGGTCACCCCTGCTCTGACGGGGAGACAAAGCTGGAAGGCAGCGGTGACGGTGGCATCGCCCTTCCCAGGCGGGGGCTTCGTGGGCTCCATTATGCTCCTCACAAGGGCCCGTGTGTGCCGTGGTGTGGGGAGGGGAAGAATTTGGTTTTTGAGTGAGCTTATGCATCCCATTTAAAAGGCAGCCATCTGTTTTCACACGCCCAACAGAAGGCAGCGGGTTCACGGAGGGATGCGGGAGGCTGCAGTTTGGCACAAAGAGTAATTTCAGGGAGCCTGCGCTTCGCTCCTGGTGGGCAGGCAGAGTCCCCTCCCGCTCAGAGCTCCGTTCCCTCCCTCCCGTGGCAGTGAAGCCCTCCTGCCCGTCTCGGGAGCTCATCCCCTTCGCAGGTGTCAGGGTCTGGGGATCAGTGATGGCTCAGCCTTTTAGCCAGCTGCCCCGCTGCAGCTGCACACCAGCGCCAGGACAAAGGGAGGTTTTCTGCCCCCGCGCTGTGACTGCCCAGTAACGCTTCCCCGGCTTCTCTCTTGCACAGGCGATCCATGAACGAGATCGTCTGTGTGTCGGCCCCGTCAGCCCACGGCCTGGGGGCTGTTCACGTCTCCGTCAGCGTCGACCGGGCTCAGCTGGAGCGGACTTTGCTGTTCGAGTACATCGACGACCCGAAGGTGCAGCACATCGAACCCGAGTGGAGCATCGCCAGGTAACGCAGGGCTCTGACACCGGGTCCTCGGCAGCACGGGAGGAGCCAGCTCGCCTCGTCTGGGGCTTCTCTCACAGCATACGCTCAGTGAGGCCAAAAGAGGGTCTTTTTGGGAATGCATGTCCCACCCAGCATCCTGGATCTGTCAGGGCTGGGCGCCTGCGGCGTTTGTGTTTTCCAAAAATCAGGTCCAGAGTTACTAAAGTAGTTGTGATTACCAAGGCAATTACAGCAGTAGCAGTCTGCCCGGAGATTCTGGGAGCGTGAATAAAGCCCCAAGATCACTCCCATCTGCTGAAGAAGTGCACAATTGCTCATTAAAGGCTCCTTCTTGTAGTCCTGGAATAAAACAAAACCAGCAACCACCAAGAAAAGAAAAAGCTGATGTTAATCAAAATGTGCTGTTTATCCCAGATTCACTTCTAGGAACAGGGCGACTGGCGCTGTCACATCACTGTGACGTTGTCGCTAAAAGCCCTGTCCCGTGCTCGTCCCCTGGTGTTACTTTAAGGGTTGTGCTCACAAGAGCTGTAACACAACTGTTCATTTCAAATTCCAATTATTTTTTTTAATTGCCCTTGGAAGAAGCGTCTCGCAGCAGGCTCTGCGAGATGCTCGCTTTGGGTCCAGGTCCATGCTCGTGTCTGGTTCTGGATGAGATGGGTTTGATGGTCGGGGCTGCTGCCAGAGGTGTCAGAAGGGAACAGCTGGGCTCTGCTGCAGAGGTGCTGGAGGCTCGGGCTGATCTGGGCCGCGCTGCTCCAGTTAACGCATGAAAGAAGAAGCCAAGAGTCAAAGACCTTGCTCAGGGACGCTGGCTGGGGGAGAAGGGGGTGCTCGAGCCCGGGAGCTGTGTCCTCCCGGGCCCTGCTGGCACCACTCGTCATCCCTCCCCTGCTCTGTGTGACAACTTGCTGCGTCTGCAGTCCAGATGCAAGTACCCGTCAGTTCCTTCACTGCACATACCATTTATCGTGTTCCTTAAAAACACCGCTATGTAAATCATTAAACACTGTGACTAATTTATTGTCTTATGTATTTAGTCTCAGCTCAGTTGATTTCTTTGGTCCCATTTCTCATCCTGCCGCCTTGCAGTGCTGTTGGGTAGGAGAGGGTGCAGCTGAGAGCAGAAAATCTGGCTAACTTGAGACACCACTCCCCAGCGACCCAGGGAGCGGGTATTAATCCACAGTGGTGCCTGAAGTGCCTGCAGAAAACATCTTTCTGAGATCAACAAGCGTTCTTACTGTCAAGCACGGCCTCTCTGCGCAGCCCGGGCCCCTCCTGCCAGAGGCATTAATCGGGTGTCTCCTGGTTCTCCGCAGCGGACACACGCCTCTGACTGTCACCGGCTCCAACCTGGACGTGATCCAGGAGCCGAGGATCCGTGTCAAGTACAACGGCAAGGAGTTCGTCAACGTGAGTAGGTGCTGTCAGCGCGGTGCCGCCGGGCTGTGCCTGGGGGCGTCCCCCTGCGCGGCGCGGCGGGTCCCCCCCACCCCGACACACGCCTGCGGTTCCTGGTGATGGTGCTCGCTGGGTGGCAGAAGCTGCTCGGGGGATATTTCCCTGGACTTACCCAAACTGGGGACCCTGGAAACAGGAATTGTGACACACAGAAATGGGAAATTACTTCCTCAGCCGCACAGTAACTGCCGAGTTTTCAAAGCTAGAAATGGAGGAGGTCACCTCCATCACCTCAAATCCTGTCTTGGGTCAGATAAACTTGTTTCACTCCTGAAATTCCCCCTCTTCTCAGAGCCCCTGAGCCCCGAGAGCTCTCTCTCCCCAGCATCCTTCCATTTCCAGTACCTAGCTCAGCAACACGGACACATCATGATGGGAAGTCCAAGTGGAGCTCTCCCCATCATTCCCAGCTGCTCCACACTTCCCATTTTAGTCCCGCTCTTTCTGTAAAAGCCCTGAGCTAGGCGCTGAGACCTGCCAGCTACGAGACTGCTATGTTTAACTAGTCTCTCCCTAGCTGCCTCTCTATAAATAAACCTCCTACTGCCACAGCTCTGGGCCTTGCAAGCTTGTACCAGCCCAGGGAGGGAAGGAGAGAGAGGAACCGCTCCTGAACAAGAAGCTTTCAGGCCACTTTCACAGCTTGATCACCGTGGTAAGGCTGGGCGCTGCTTCCCTGCGCCCTCCTCACTGTGTGAAGGATGCTGGGCCTGGAGCTCGGGGTATTTTGGTGAAGCTGGGTGTTATTTTTGTGCATCCTTACCTTCCTCCCTCCTGTCACCCTGATGTTCCCAAAGCAAGGAGTTGGTAGCAGAGTTTGGGGTTGATCTGGAATGCCACCTCCTTTCCCTAGCTGTATTTTTTCAGTCCAAGAGTGAGAAACTGAAATGAAATCTCAGCAAGCAGGAACTAAGCAATGTTCTTGAATGCTACGAACAAGAATTGTACCTCCAGGACCCACAGAAATTATTTTGACCAAGTAAAAGTGAAATATATTGTTTCCATGCAGTGATCTTTCTGACTGAATCTGTATTATCTTGGAAAGGGCAAATCACTTGGCAGTCTTTTCCTATTCCCTTTCTCCCTTCTTCTCTGAAGACCTTTTTCATCTGAGCCCTTTTTAAAGAGACATCTAATTTTGTTGTTAGCACTTGCAGTTATAGTGCTACCAAAATAATTCTGAAGACACAAAATTGACTGAAATTAAATCTTCCACTTATGGAGGGAGGCCAAACAGTTGAGCTGTTGCTGCTTTATACGGCAAGAGTCTCGTAAATCAGCCAGCTCCCTGCTTCCAGGGCTGGAGGAGCTGGGGGTGTCCTCAGCCCGGCAGGAGATGACCTTCGTGTTCCCTCCAGCCCACGGGTGTCAGAGGGTCGTTCCTCTCCCTCGCTGGCATTCAGAAATTGCCTTTATTCACCACTTTGTAACAGAGACCAGGTATTTGCTATGGGCCTGTTTCAAAGCTAGCATTGCCAAAGGGGATGCGACTGGAAAGAAAAGAAAAAATAAAGAAAAAGGGGTCAGTGATCCACTACGCAAGCCTCTAGCTCCCTTAAAACGCTGCTCATTTCGAAGCTCACTCTCCATCTCTGTCTCGGTGCCTTCGCACTGGCCGCAGGGGCAGCAAATTCCCCCCAAACTACGGCTGCAACGCGTTGAGCCTGGATTAAATATTGCAGCCTAAGCTTGAGTCTGCTGGACCTTTCAGGGAGTATTTAAGGAATCCAGGTGGGGGTAAGTTTCTCCCTGCTGTCTTTCAAAGTCTCGGCCTTCCCCACAGGTCTGCAAGGTGGTGAACGCCACGGCGCTGGCCTGCCTCGCGCCCCCCCTCACCGCTGAGTACCGGCCCGGCCTGGACGCCGTCGAGCGGCCGGACGAGTTTGGGTTTATCTTTAACAACGTGCAGTCTCTGCTGGTCTACAACGACACCAAATTCATATACTACCCCAACCCGACGTTTGAACTCCTGAGCCCGACTGGGGTGCTGGAGCAGAAGCCGGGGTCACCCATCATCCTGAAGGTAAGGAGACCCTTACTCACCCCGAGGGACGAGGCAAAAAAAAATCCCAGAGCAAGGAGTTTTATACCCACTTTGGAGAATGGGGTACACTAGAGAGTCCCGTCCTTTGCACAAGCTGGGAATGAGGCGAAAACTGGAGAAATGTGCCGCGCCTTTGTACATTCTCTCCCCTTGTCCCTAGGGCAGAAACCTGTGCCCACCCGCTCCTGGAGGGGCAAAGCTCAACTACACCGTGCTGATCGGAGAAACGCCCTGCGCCGTCACCGTCTCCGAGACCCAGCTGCTGTGCGAGCCACCGAACCTCACCGGACAGCACAAAGTGATGGTGAGGGACCAAACACCCCTGTCAGCAGCACTTCCCTCCCTCCTTCCCATCCTTTCTCCTCCTCCAGCTCCCTGACTCACTCGGGTATTGAGTGCAAATTCTTGTCCAAGGTTCAGTAGGATTTCAGATCTTTATGGCTGTCTAATGGGAAGCTTAAAATATTGATGTGGATTAGCATGAAGAAACTTCTTATTCCCTCCCTGAGACTCGCTGCCTACTATCAGAACCTTCTAGAAAGAACAAATCTTTCTGGCAGTGCCTTCAGCACCAGGTACCACCTTTCTCTGGTGCTGCTTGCTCTTCCTTCAGCAGGTGAGACCATTTTAGTGGGCTGTGTTCTCCCCGCTGTAGGGATTTTATCAGTCCTCGTATCAGACCTGATCTGCTAAGGGGATGGAAAGGTTTTGCCTTTTCCCGAAGCAGAAGCAGGAACGGACATCCAAACACGGGACTGGTGGGATCAACAGCCTCATCCAGGATAACAGTCAGTGTTTTCCTCTGCTTTGGTTTTGGGCGTTGCTGCTTCCTCTGATCCACTCACAGACCAAGCCCGCAGCTGCCCAAGTACTTGAGTAGAGCCCAAATGAGATTGTAATTGTGATTTATTTCCCTTTAAGTTGCGGATCCAAAGCATATTCAGATTATCTCAGTGTGATTCACAGAAGCGCAACCTGGCGGAGAGCTGCTTGCATCTGTGCCCAGGGCACATCCAAGAAAAGCCGGTCCCGACATTCACCTCCAGCGTGTTTGCTCTGCGGCTTTCACATGGGGCTTTCTCTTCCCTTCTCTGTTCTCTCTTCCCAGTCACTCTGGTTTCTTGTCAGTGAAATTATCACTGGTTTGCTAATGTCCACGGCTTACAAAAGGGAGTTGAAAGCTTATAAAATGAAAGTCAAATGGAGCCATCAGATAATAAGAACAAAGCCCAGATAGCGAAGGGCTGGCACATTTATCATCACTTGAAGCCTCGCTGTGTTCACATGAGCTGCGCCCTCTGTGTCCGAAGGCAGTCAGAGCTGCTGCAGTCGTGGCTGAAACAGTCGGTTGGGTTCTGCCTTAGGGCCTGTACAGCCTGTGCAGTGGGTGCCCCGGCCAGGAGGGGTGGGACTTGGGGACAGGCTGACACCCTTACCCGGAGCTGCTGGTTACCTCCCTTGTGCTTTGTAGGTGCGTGTTGGTGGTCTCATCTTCTCCCCTGGTTCGGTGAGCATCCTCTCAGACAGCCTCCTGACCCTGCCAGCCATCGTCAGCATCGCGGCCGGAGGCAGCCTGCTCCTCATCATCGTCATCATCGTCCTCATCGCCTACAAGCGCAAGTCCCGAGAGAACGACCTGACCCTCAAGAGGCTGCAGATGCAGATGGACAACCTGGAGTCCCGCGTGGCCTTGGAGTGCAAGGAGGGTCAGTACTGCCGGGACCGGGTGCTCGCTGGGTGCTGCGGCCCCTGCTCTGGTCCCCAGCTTTCCTCACCAGAACCACCCCAGTCACCCAGTTTTTGCAGCAAGGAGGGGGGTGCCTGTCCCCACGGGTTTGCCCGCCTGCCCCGCCGCAGGAGGGAGGGCAACGACAAGCGTGTGTCAGTGGCAGACACGGCTCTGCTGCCTAATGTGCAGAGAATAGGATTAGAGCTTGATCCTGCTTAAGCGACATGCCTGGATCGTGCTGGGAAGACGGGGCGAGCCCCGGGGTGCCCAGCACAATATGCCTCCTTGTCTAATGGCCTTTTAGTAAAGGGCTTTTAAGAAGGCACAGAGACAGGGAGCGGAGGTTCGGTGTCCCAGACGGAAGGCAGGATGCCTGGAGAGCTGGTCCAGTCCCTCCTGCAGTCTGTAAGGTGTGAGCACTGAGCAGGAAGAGTGGGTCGGAGGGAGAGGAAGCATTTGCTCCTCAAGCGTTTGCTTCTGGACAATCCTGTGTGTGATTCAGACCTGCTAAACCTGCCCCTTCCGCACAGACAAGTCTCGTCCCTTGCAAGGAGGCGGCTGAGCCCAGCCTGTCCCCAGGGAGTGAAGGTGGAGGGGGACAGTCCCTTCTGTAGCCGGAGGGCTGAGGCAAAAAAAGCGCTCTGGGGAGGGGTGCTGCTGTGGTCTCTGTGTCTTCCAGCTGGAAGGGAGCTTTAGTGAGTCAAAGAAAGATAAATAGAAAGCTGCAAATTTCATAGTGTGACCTTTGTATGTGGAGAGTTGCATTGGATTTGTTCAGCCGATTTTAAAAGGGGAGCCTTGAAAGTACAGGACAGAAAATGAAATATCTTCAGGAGAGACCACAGCTTTGGCTTGGGCACAGCCTGGCTGGGGTGCAGAGACCTTACTGAGCCAGCGTTTCGTACTTTGGAGAACGAACACAAGGACACGCATATGGCTGTGTAACACGGTGCTGTCATGTTATGAGAGGGAGAATAAATTCCTTCCTGGCCTCTGCAGCCGGCAGTTTCTGATTGGGTTTGATCTGCATCAGATTTGATTATTTTAGCAACTGTTGATAGAGGATGAGAAGATGAAGAAGAAAGGAAAATACGGGCGGTACCAAGTTATGAAAATAGATCCTTGTTTCTAGCCGCAGCCTTTAAAGGTGTTTTAGGGGTATATACACAGGTGTGAACTGCATACAGATTAATGAGCATCTTTTGTTCTTGGCATCTGCTCTGTGCAGTGTGTGCTCTCCTGCTCTCAGCTGCCGAGAGAGGCTCCAAGGTGAGGGTCTGGCTGAGCTGCATGCCGAGGTCCCCTCCAAATCGGTTTCCTGAGCTGGGCGAGCCCCAGGAGAGCCAGCAGCCAGCCCTCCCCGCAGCCTCTGCCCCGCAGCTCATGTGTGTTTGTCTCGTTCTGTCCTCCCTGAACAGCTTTTGCAGAGCTGCAGACCGACATCAATGAATTAACCAGCGACCTGGATCGCTCGGGGATCCCGTACCTCGACTACCGGACGTACGCCATGAGGGTCCTTTTCCCCGGCATCGAGGACCACCCAGTCTTGCGGGAGCTGGAGGTAAGGAACAGGCTGTGCTCCGGCCCTTCGAAGGTTCCCCGAGCCCTCGGGGAAGCCCATGTGAAACCCTGGACCACCTCTGTGCCTTCCACACCAAATCTTATTAGAGGCACTGGGGTTAGCAGGATAAGCCCCGAGTTCATTTTAACTAAGATCTGGTGTTTTATCTCCGTCACACTTTGCTTGATTCCTTTTGATTTCTTCTCCCCGGTGTTGCTTTAGTTTTATTTTACAGGTTGTTATATCGCTACAGGCCAGCAGCAAAGCATGCCAGATAAGTTATCGGTGACATTTTAAAGTCCTTCTTAATCACCTCATGGTGCAGGGGAAGGCTCCGTGCTCCTGGGAGCATCCTGCGTGGATCCTGCTGCTGCTGCTGTTCCGTGGCGTGTCCACAGGAGGGCAAGCGCCGTGCCGAGGCATGGCCAGCCTCCCGCTCGCCTGCCAGCAAGCTCTTCCCTCACCCTGGTTTTGCCACCAGTGTCTGTAAATACATACTTAAGATTTTCACTGAGCACCTCGAAAAATTGGTAACGTACAAAAGTCCTTCGTCACCTCGCAGTGACACCTTGCAGATGGGTCCTGCTCACCTGTGAGAGCGCCAAAAAAAAATGATGGTGCTCCAAGAAACATTGTCTTGGACACCGATGATGTTCAAGAAACATTGAGCGTGGGGCTGCCATCCTCTGTCCGGGATGCCCAGAAGGCACCGGGCTCCCCTCTCTCGGAGGCCGGCATTGCTCCAGTAAATCCTGAAAGCCCTGTTGCCTTCACCCAGACCGGGAGGTGGCCCGAATCTTCAGCCAGAGATATCAGAGAAAGAAGCCTTGGCTACTTGTGTTGCTTTTCCAGACAAGCACTACTTAGCATTCCCTTTCTAGTGGGCCACCGACACCGAGCAGTTGCCGTGGTGTTGGTTAAAACTCACGCAGGCTTTGAACCAGGCTCCCCCAGCCCCTTCCCGTGCCCTGGGTTCTCCAGGCCCATGCATTATGTTCGCTGTTTAAATCGCCAAATAAGCTGATGCTCTAGCAAACAAATACGAATGCTTTTTTATTTGTTTTACTCATGAAAAACAGAATTGTAGAAGTGATAAATGTGTTGCCAATTACACAGTTGCTTAATTATGTAACGTCAGTAAAACCAATACATAAGTCTCCAAGATGTTTGGTAAAGAGTTGCTTAATGTAGTTCATCATTTTCACTTGTAATGAATTACTTGAATCTGCAACTGGCTGAAAGCCTCAATTAATTTTTTACACTTGTCCCATAATAAAGCAATAGTCTAAATTAGTATTTAATTTACTTACAAGAGTGTCACTTTTTGTGCAGAACAAGCAAATTTGTATGTCATTTATAGGGCTGTTAGCCTCAAAGCAGCAGCTTTATGGCATGCAGAGAGTGCGGCCCGGAGCAGCGATCGAGACGAACCGTACTGATGTGCTGGGGGAGGACAGGAAGGGTGATGCTTGTTCAGCGCTGGTCAGGGACAGTGTTCAGGGATGCTGAGACCCTGAGAGACGGGCTGCTGGCTCGTGCACCCACTGACCCCAGCACTAGTGATGGCAGAGTGACCCCGCGGTGGTTGCAGGGCTGCCCTCCAGTCCCTCGTCCTCCCGCACCCTTGCTGACGGGCTCTCCTCCACCGCAGGTCCAAGGGAACGGGCAGCAGAGCGTGGAGAAGGCCTTGAAGCTCTTTGCTCAGCTGATAAACAACAAAGTCTTCCTGCTGACCTTCATCCGCACGCTGGAGCTGCAGCGCAGCTTCTCCATGCGCGATCGTGGCAACGTGGCCTCGCTCATCATGACGGGCCTGCAGGGCCGCCTGGAGTACGCCACCGACGTGCTGAAGCAGCTGCTCTCTGACCTCATCGAGAAGAACCTGGAAAACAAGAACCACCCCAAGCTGCTCCTGCGCAGGTAACGCTGGGGGACGGGGCGGGACGGGGCTGCCCCCAGGCTGACACGGCCACGCTGCTGGTGGCACCCGGAGGCTCTGCAGGACCAGGGTGCTGGTGTTGGAAGGGAAATGCTGCTCTGCGTGGGGGACTTCAGACAACCCACCCGTGTCCTGGCCTGTAACTCTACCCTGTGATTTCAGAGAGGGCTGAACAGGGTCTTAAATTGGATCCGAGAGAGCTGTTACCTCTGCTGCGTGTCTCTCACTCAGACCCTCCTCCCTTGCCCCAGCAGCACCCCGTCCCCTGGGTGAGAGTGGGTGGTGATGCAGCACCTCTGCCCCTGCACCCACCTGCCTGACCACCTGTGTGTGCAGAGATGCCCCAGAGGCTCAGCAACGGGGTTTAGCCCCCACTGCCAGCCCTGTGCGGGGCCGCCTCAGGGCAGCATCATGGCAGAGACAGGAACGGCACAAAAAGCTGAACTCTCCATCACCTGCCTGTTGCTGGTAGCACGCAGTGCCCTGTGCATGCAGGCAGAGAAGAGGAGGCACCAGCTCGGGCACGGCAGGGTCTGGAGGAGCAGAGATGCAGCTCGTTCAGTCATCCTACTGGACTTCAGGCTCTTAAGGGCAGGAGCCCAATTTCTTACATGTCTGTACAGTACTTAGAGTCCTCGTTTCCCACGAGCTGTATTATTGTGATGAGAGCTAAAAGACCTAGTGAAGAAAAAGTACCTCTCGGATGGGCAATGCTGTGAATCGCCCCCGGAGCCACCAGGCTGCCCAGCAGGGCTTGGTCCCCTCCCGATGGCAGCCCGGGTGCCCCTGGGACCTTCACCCTCCTGTGCCTGAGCCACCTCACTGGTACTTCTGGGCTTTATCCTCACCGCATCCGCGTCTGCCTGGAGCGAGCGGCAGCGTTTGCGTTTCACAAGCTGGAGGAAGGAGCTCAAGAACAGATGAAGCGACTCACCCGAGATTGTGCTGGGAAATGGCAGAAAGCAAAAGGGGAAAAAGCGTGTATTAACGTAGGCCAGATCAGCGGCCACAAGTAAAAAGCCACCTCTGTTCTCCATCTCAGCCCGTGTCCCTGCAGGGCCCGGCCTTGGCTGGCAGCTGCCCCCGCGGCGGGGCCGGGGCACTGCTGGGTCTCGCTGGAGCGAGCGGATGAAGGCGAGGGGAGGATTTCACAGCTCTAGGAAAATTTCAGGGATTCCTCCAGCCATAATGAATATACTTGACAGGAAATTGCTTTAAATCTGGCTGTGTTTGCAGAGGCAATAACTCATCTCGGAAAAGGAAGCCATCTTAATTTCCCCCGTGGTTTGAGGAGTCGCTGGGAAGGCGTCTTCTGCCTCAGCCATCAATAATGACTTTTCGTGGTGCTCCAAAAAAATACACGGCTGGTGAGCAGAGCAGGTGTGCCCCCTCCTCCCACAGCACCCAGCCAAGAGACGGGGCCCTGGGCAACACCAGCAGCGCGGCGGCTGGCGTCCTGCGCCAGGATTTAGCCATTTCATGGGAAACCTGACCCGAAATGTTTCCAGGGATGGGGCATCTACCACCTCTCTGGGCAGCCTGGTCCAGTGTTTCACCACCCTCGTTGTGAAACATTTCTCCTTTATATCTAGTCCGAATCTACCTCCTTTTAGTTTAAAAGCATTGCCCCTTGGCCTGTCACTTCAGGCCCCGTTAAACCCGGGGCTGGAGCCTTGTCCCAGCCCTGTGCCCGCGCGCTCCCGGGTGATGCTGCTGCACAAAACAGCCCAGGCTGGAATGTCTTGCTCTGACTTAATAAGGAGTGATCAGCCACAAAGTGAGATACTTTTTTTCTTTTTTTTTTGCTTCTTTGAGCTCTCTGGTGGCAGCAGTTGATAATTGGCACTCAGTTCTTTCTCTCTTTCTTCCTCATTTTCCCCTCTCTCTTTCTTCCATGACTGCCCCTCGCGGGAGACAGCAAGAAAGTTGACATTAAATCAAATAGCTGTTCTGGTGCCTGGCACAGAGCGCAGCACACAGCAGTTTGGAGACCTAGATAGAGCAGAGAAAATTAATAAAATACATATTTATTTTTTTGGGTTCTCTCAGCTCTTTTTGTTTGGTTTTGTTTTATTCCCGGTGCCTCAGAAAGTCGGAGGAGCAGCCAAGGTGCTGGTTGCTGGCGTCAGACTCCTCTGGAAAGTCATCGCCAGATCGTGCTTTGCCCTTGTGATGTGGTCAACGTGAGAAGGGTTTTCTCCAAGTCCAGGGATTCTCTCCTGCCACATTAATCTTCAGGAGCTTATTTTTTATTTTTAGAGGCAGCTCTCTTAACAGCGTTTCAGACACCAGCCCGGCGACGCCTGCCGAGGGCAGCGCAAAGCCCCCACCACCTATTGCTGCGCCTCGGCAGAGCCCTCCCCGCGTAGCAGGGACAAAGGGAGGGCAGAGGCCCCGTGGTGGCAGACGGAGGTTAAGGGATGGCTTAGCCAGCACCCAGCCCGTTTCAGAGGCAGAGGCCAGGGGCGGTATATACAGCAGAATTGTTTGCAGGGAGCCTACAGGGCTCCTGCCGCACCCAGCAGCGATGAAGGTTGTAAGCAGCCCCTTTCCTCAGCAGTGCAGGACGGTGATGACTGACTCAGTGGTTGGCCGTCCCCAGGACTGATGGCACTGCAGATATCTCACAGCATCAGTCTGTGCTGAGATGAGAGTGAGCGTCAGCGCTTGAAGGCAAGGAGAAATGGGATTTGACAGAGATACTCCAAGGTGTTTCTTTTTGCCAGTCCATTCCGCTGATCTTGTACTTCCGATAAAGAAATAAAAGAGGGCAGCTACGTACGGGAGTATCCACTACCCTTCTCCCACACACTATGCCCCAACTTCTCTGTCACTCCGTATTTCAGTTGTTTTTACAGTGCCGGTGTCAGACCATGAGCAGCCAACAGGGACAGGACATTGCCTCACTGGTAGGGCTAATCGGGACGCTTGCCAGTTCTTCATTTAATATTCTATTAACAAAGTAGTTTCTTAAATTAATCTTCACCCCAGTGTCCTGAATGTATCATTTCCTGAGTTTTTCACCTATTCTCGAGTTTGTGTCACTGACTCTCCATTTTCCATGGCTCGCTGGTGTGGCAGCGTGCTCGTGCTTCTTCTCCTTAATTGGGTGACGGAAATATTTTAAGCAGGAGAACAATGTGTCTGTCAATTTGTAGGATGAATTTTTAGGCTGCTAATCAGTTCAGGCTTAAATTCTTTGGGGATCCGCAGACATTTTCACAAATTCCTGGCAGATGTTGCGATCCTAAAGATGATGGGTAATGTGACCCCAGGTCCGTTTGGTGACTGGTGTCGGTTTTTGTTTGCTGAAATCTGTGGCTCCCGTCTGCTCGACTTTGGGATCAAACCCTGCTGCTTCTATCGTTTTTCATTAAATGCCGGAGTTTCAAACATGTGGGATGCTGTGTAAATACATACCACGAGGCCGTCCCTAATTCAAGGCAGGAGAACAGATGGGGAAGAACAGAGAAAATGAGTGCGGAGCAGGACAGCGACTCGCTCCAGGTCAGGGTAGGGGTAGATGTGGAAGCTCGGTGCGTTGTCGTGCCCGCTGGGCACCTCTGCATCAGGTTGGTGGTCGAAGAGGCAGTTGGCAGGATTGGCACTGGGAGCAGAGCCCCCAGCCAAGGGGATGAAGGTGCCGAGAGGTGCCCAGACCCGGCGGGGCTGCTGCCTTGCTGCAGGCTGACGGTGCAGGCAGAGGGGGGCATGGTGCTCGGAGAAGAGGATGCTGCAGAGGGCAAGGTCTCGGATCCACCCCTCTTTGCTTGCTGAAATTTGGAGCAGATCCTGGTGTGGCATGTGGCGTGAGGGGAAGGCTGGTGGTGCAGAGAGCCAGGCTGTCCAGGGGCACTCGGGCAGCTGGCTCGGCTGTGGCAGAGCAGCTCTCCCCTGCCCGGCCTCGCGGGCAGGCTGGCAGCCCTGCCTGCTGCCTGCCTGCCTGCTGCCTGCCTGCTGCCTGCCACCCCCGGCATGGGCTGCGTGTTTGGGGCTCAGATGTGGACTGTGAGACACCCTGCCACCAGCACGGCCATCCCATCCCTGCCCCAGGAAAAGGGGTTGTGGTGCTTTAAGGAAAGTCTCCCCGTCCTGCAGAGCCAGCATTAAAAACTATCATTAGGAACCATTGTATTTAAATTAAAGATAATCTCGGGCACAATGTGGGGAGAGGACACTGGGTGGGACTGGGGAGAAAGCTGCAATTTCCCTGTCATTGTCACTCTGCTGTCCCTGATTGCCAGGAACTGCTGCAAATCCCAGTGATTTACTGAGCCAGGCTGTAATTTGCACCACGTGCAAGGAGCCGAGTGTCACCAGGCTCCCTGTCACCAGCCCCATCAGGGCTGTGACGGGCTGTCAGCTGGGCAAGCTGCTGGCAGCTCGGTGTGGCGGGAGCGGGGGACAGCACTGGCCGCATCCTGCTGCCTGCCCCGGCTCAGAGCACCGCGGGGGCTGTGCCGGGGTGCAGCCCGGTGGTGCTACCCGGGGAAAAGATCTGGGGCCTCTGATGTGTGGTTTGGTTTTGTGTGCCACATGCATGTCCTTCTGGCTTCCCTAGGACCGAGTCGGTGGCTGAGAAGATGCTGACTAACTGGTTTGCCTTCCTCCTCCACAAGTTCCTCAAGGTAAGGCACCCGCTGCCGCTTTGCTGTCTCACCCACCAGCCATCCCCGGGGTGAGTCTGGGTTTGAAAGTCTTCCCTCAGACTTCAAGTCAAGAGGTGTAGTAGCGAGGCAGTTGCCTAAACCTGGGGCTGCTGTTACAGGGGCTGAGTCAAGCCTTTTGTGTTCAGTTTGGTTCAACCCTCAGCCTGGTGTAATTCTCATGTAATGGAGTTTCTGCTGCACCTCTTTACTACTTAGGAGAAATTCTCACTTACATCTCCGTGCCTGGGCTTCCATATTTTTTAACTTTATTTGTGGTTTTTGGAAACCCCACAGAATTTGCTCCATGGGAGTGAGCAATGAGATCAAGGTCTCAAATTCCGTTTTTTACAGCCATACAGATTCAGTAGAGATTTACCAAGCCAAAGACAACATACCCGTTGAGCCATAGAGCTCGTGGTTTTGGCTGTCCTGCCCGGGAGCTGCTGGGGGCCGAGCCTGGATTGCACATGTGCAAAAGATTGAGACTGTGGCTCTGCTGGAAAGGATCCTGGGCAAAACCCGTGTGCAGGCCGGTGGCCCTGGAGGAGATGCACCGTCACCTCTCTGTTAGGTTTGCTCTCTGTCTTGTTGTGTAGGAATGTGCTGGAGAGCCGCTCTTCATGCTCTACTGTGCCATCAAGCAACAGATGGAGAAAGGTCCGATTGATGCCATCACAGGAGAAGCCCGTTACTCCCTCAGCGAGGACAAGCTGATCCGGCAGCAAATAGAGTACAAGACTCTGGTGAGTGAGAGTGATCGTTGGAGAAGCTGCCACTGAATCGCTTCTGTCCTCCCTACTTGGGCATGAGCTGTTCTGACCTTTAGGCCGGTGATTAGGACATACCATGAAGTGCCAGTGCAGTGCAATAAAGCCTCTTGCTACTAGGCCTGTCCCCAAGTCAGCTGTGCCCCTCATTTGCAGGTACAAAGAGCTAAGGTTTTGAAAAGCAGGGCTTGAGGGGAGTGTTTTATCTCCCTGCGCCTTGAGCATTGCCCTCCCTCTAGCAAATGAAAATCCAGGGCTCCTATCTTAGTAATCGTTATAAAGATACACTAGCTGCAGCAGCAGTGGTGCAATTAGGGATGCAGCGGGGTTGTTGTGCATCTGGTTACAGCTCTCCTGGATGCTTAACTAAAGCCCTTCAGAACATGGTGCGGTTCTCCTTCCCTTCCAGATCCTAAACTGTGTGAACCCGGATAATGAGAACAGTCCAGAGATCCCTGTGAAGGTGCTGAACTGTGATACCATCACTCAAGTCAAGGAGAAGATCCTCGATGCAGTATACAAAAACGTCCCCTATTCTCAAAGACCAAGAGCTGTTGACATGGACCTGGGTAGGAGCTTCCCTGCCTCACAGGAGGGGCAAGATCAGAGAGGTTGATCAGTGATTCCGGGTGGGTTTTGCAGAGCCGGAAAACTAGAGCTCAGGCTGCACAACACCACACATGTTTGTGCCCCCTGAAAGCACGGGCACTGCTCCTGCTGAATAGGTTTTGAGCTCTGTGGGATCAGCTAATTGTCTGTTGACCACAGAGCAGATGATTCCTGAAGCCTCCTTCACTCTGCTGAGAATTGAGCTGTCTCTGGGTGCCCCTTTCTGGGAGGCTCCTCTGTCCAGTAGTTACTTGGGCCAGAAGTGGATAGAGCCTGTGAGTGCCTTTTCCCTCTCTGACCGTCGTGTCTGCCTGGTTTTTGCCTCTCCCGCAGAGTGGCGGCAGGGCCGGATAGCTCGTGTGGTCCTGCAGGATGAAGACATCACCACCAAGATCGAAGGAGATTGGAAGCGCTTGAACACCTTGATGCATTATCAGGTAAGAAAACAGCCCCAGCAGACAGCTCCCAGAAAGATGCTTGGAGGGAAGAAAAGAAAAGCAGAAATTTAATTCCCAAGTATGTCGTCTACCAAGAATAGACAGGGAGGTCACATTTGTATGATAAACCAGAAGGGTTCAATGTGCTTACACATTAGATGGGAAAGCAACCTTGTCATGGATCTTAAAGAAACTAGCAGAGTTGAAAATTGGCTAAATTAAACCCACCAGCCGTGCTAGTGAGATAGAGGGAGCAGTGGCGAGGGCTGAGCTGCTGCTGCTGGAGCTGCAGGGCCTGGGGAGGGAGGGCCCGTGGGGCTTGGGGTCTTCGTCGGAGGGGGCTGACACAGCGAGGGAGTGCTGCGGGGCAGGGCAGGGTGAGGCCAGGTCAGGAGAAGGTGAATGTCAAAAGCTGCTTCTTGACAGTGACGTCAAACCTCCTAAGCCCCAGGCCTGGTCTTCCAAGCCAAGTAATAGGAGTTTTGCCACTGAAATCATATAAAACGAAGGAGCCAGGCAGTGAAGATGCTCTGTTGTGCATCAGGCAGGGTTGGGTGAGGTGACCTAAGAAATTGTTGGCATCTTTAGCTTTTGCAGCATGCGTGGCCCAGCCCAGCCCAGGCTGCCCTGGCTAGGCGTGCGTCTGTTGGAAACAGGGAAAGAGAGGCAAAGGCAGAGCTAAGGAAGGTTTGGTTAAAGAGAATCAAAGGCTTTTACTCTAAAGCCTGTCTGCAGCAGAGGATAACTGCATTAATTGGGACCTGTAACCTACTACTGCCCATCACTACCTACACAGAAGTGTTTAGTATTTAATCTGGCATCTTCCCCTGTTTATACACCATCTCCAGTCCATCAGTGTGACTCACGCTGTGTAAGTTGAATGGGAGCCAGTATTGACGGGAGACATAATCAAGGAGCGAGGCAGAGGGAATGGCATCAATATGCGAAGTGCATGTAAAAAAAAAAAAAAAAAAAAAAAAAAAAACAACACCTCGAGGGTCAGCTTTTCCAAGCAGCCCGAAGGATTTAAGCAGAGATTACCGTAAAATGTCATAGGAGTTGTGCAGATGAATTCCATTGTTTCAAAAATGTGTTTTACCTGACAGTTGCAAGGGATTAACCAACATGCAGGGAAGCAGCGCGACTTTATTATGCCTTGATCTTTAAAAGTCATCTTAAGGAAGTCACAGGTGAAAACGCGTGTTTGTCTGATGCGTGTTGGGTGTGAGGGGAGGCAGTACTTTCATTTTAGTGCCTGGGGGAAAATCTGAGCCACAAGTTTACCCTTAAAATAAACAAAATCCTCGCAGCGCTCCAGATGTTGCAGCTAGTCCTGCCATTTGACTGTCAGGTTTGCTGTGGAACCAAGTAGAAGTTTGCTGCCAAACACCCGAACAGGTAGCAACTGCACTTGCCTCCCCCGGCTCTGGCCTGAGCTCTGCGCAGCCCCACGGAGCTGTTTCAGCCATAAAAAGAAGCCGAGTTCTCTGCACCGCAACAGAAATCATGTCAAGGCAGGGCTTTTGCCAAAAACAAACAGCGGTATTTTTTTTTTTATTATTATTCCTACCAGTTGGTTTTTGGTTGGTTTTTTTTTTCTGTTTGAGTAATAAATGTTTTTATTAGGTATCAAAAATACAGATGCTCCAGGACTACACAGTAAAACAAATATGTGGGCAAAGGCACAGCTTAGAAAAGGGTATAAAATCATTTGAGTTTCAAGCACCGCTGCCTCACCATTTTAACAGGAGTGTTACATATAAAACAGATGTGGTTCAAGCCATAAAAATGAAATCTAGATTCCTCCAGCTTCTAGAGGACTAGTGCAGATGATTTCTAAATTTCTGGAAAACAAAACAAAACAAAACAAAAAAACGGCTCTGTCAAGCTTGTCTTTTATGTAAAGACAAGAGCTGCCTTGTCTTTATTCTGGTCTGAAGGCAAAGTGACCTCTGGGTTTGCAGGCGGCGGCTGGGGATGTGCAGCCCGTGTTTCCCCCCGATAACGCCGGGTGTTTTGTGATCTTTTGGAGCGATGCTGGTCCCTGGGAGCAAGCGCTGCGGCACAGCCCAGGACCCGCCCGCTCCCCGCGGCCTTGCCCCCCTCCTGCTCTCTGGGGTCCGTTTGCTCCGCAGCCCCGTTCCGGCAGCCCCCGGGTTCCGACTCCTGCCAGGGACCAAACCAGCCTCCTCCTCCTCCTCCTCCTCGCCGTGCTCCGGGCCAGGGTGGGGAGGCTCTGCAGAGGACAGTGATTTAATTCCAAGAGTTTCTCAGCTCCACGCATGGCTGCTGGATTTTGACACTATTACGTTTGTTTTCTACATGTTTGGGATGATAAAAATACAACATATATCTGCATCAGCCCATAAAATGTATTTTTCATGGGAAGCCTTCGCATGCAGAAGCCGGATTGGGTTTAAAAAGAAATATTAATCTCCCTGTAATATTTTTGAACCACTTCATAGAATTATATAGAGAACTGTATTCCTGCTGCTTATTTCTTCATTTATAAAAATAGATGTATAGGTTAAATAGGGGTAATTCTTTGTTAAATTCTCTGGAGCTTTTAAACCGTATTGAAAGGAATTGTATTACATTTGTGTGGTATCCTTTTGGTTTCACGCCTATTAAGCTCCATGGGAAAGTCTCACCCTGCATGGCTTTACTCAAGAGAAATGAAACACTGAATTTAATATCAAATGATTTACAGTGGCTCATGCAGGGTTAACTCCGAGGCAGCAGAGCGTGAATACCTGTCAGCCACTGTGAGTCTGAAAGGGCCGAGAGACCAGAAAACTATTTTAAAGGAAAAATTAGAAGCGGAGAGGGAAGATTTGTGTGGAAAATGAGACTTAGGAGCTGAGGGTGGCGTGGACGTGGAGGTGGCATCCTCACCGCATCCTCGCCACCCCACGCAAATGCAGCATTATTGTCTGGGCTTCTCCGCTGCTGCTCTCCCCTGCTCCAGGTTTTATTTTTCTTTAAGGTGTTTTGTGCAGCCTGTTTCCAGCTTGTAGAAGAATCAGAATATTTATAAAGTTGTAAAACAGCCAGCCAGCTTCGCAGGCGTCTCTGGGGTTTTATGGGAGTGTGGCAACAGCAGAGCAAGATGGGAAACGAATGTGTGTTACATCTGATGCTAATTTGCACGCTGGTATTTTTTTAGCTGACAAGAGCCATTCGACCCAAAATTTAGAGAGTGAGAGTGCTCTGTGTGTGCGTGTGGAATTTTTAATGCCTCTCTCCCAGTTAACCACAGCCTCGGTGGCAACAGATCCCGGCATGGGAGCACCCTGGGCTGCCGGCACACTCGGGTTTCTCCCCAGTGACACTGAACTGAAGTGGCAGCTGATAAACAGCCCAAAAAATTAATATCACCGCTGATTGTTTCTTCCATTGACTTAATAAATTGGATGAAGTGAGACAGGAGGAAATAACAGAGGTGGTTGAAGTGTTTTGCTTAGAAATATCTCGCTTTTGTACTGTGAAACACAAGTGACTCTTATGCCCGCTATTACTGGCAATAATAATAACTCACATTTACATGAAACCTTTCATCTGAATGGAACCCGAAGCCTTGAAGGCAGCGCAGAGCCCTGTGCTCAGGTCACCTCGCAGCGGCAGGCGTTGTACTAACACCCCTTCTGCTGATCGTGCGAGGAGATGCTTGGAGGGAACAAAATCCAACTGCTACCCTGGGGCTTACCCGTACGTAGGGATGGTGCCGAGTCCCTCGCAGGGCTCCTGGCAAATAATGGAGGACTTCGCCCCAAAAGCAATTTCTTTTGTCCAGCTCCTCTAACGTGTTGGCTGGGCCCCGGCGGGTCCATCAGCCGGTGAGACGCGGCGGTTCCGCGCTCTGCTCCCGTGCTGCGCTGCACCGCGGGCCACGAGTTCACAATTAAAAGACACTCAGGCCTGTTCCCTGGAAACCTGCAGATTCTTAATTAAGGGAAATAAGTTTAAAAACTTCCAGCAACTACTAGATTTATAGGGAGGATAAAATTAAACATGGCTACTAAAATCTGCTGTAACAAAATCTTGTTAGCACTAATGTTCATTTATAGTTTGACTTCCCAGCATTTAATTCCTTCTCTGGTGCAGTAGAGGGACTGACAATTTAATACCCTGAAAGATGGCTTTATGACTTGCTCAGCTGTAAATCAAACTTTTAAAGTTCCTAAAAATTGCTAAAATAAAAAATGGTTTAATAGGAATGTTTTATGGCCCATAACGTTATTATAGCCGTTTTATTCCCTCTGCATTGTTACTTTAATTGGATCACAACAATTCTTGAGATTCTCATTTTTATTGGATAAAACGTAATCTTAAATCAGGACGACCAAAAACATCTTCAGTACGTCTTTTGATTTATCACTCCTTTCCTTCAGTGCCTCGCTGTAGAGCTGCTGCTGACCCACACAGAGCTCGGCCGGGCCCTCGGTACCCCCGTCCCGTGGCGGCAGCCCCCTGCCCAGCCTGGGGACCCTGGTACCTGCGTCTGCAGCGTGAGCAGCCGGATCCTGGTCATCATTTCTTCTCCCCCTTTGCCTCCCCAGGTATCAGACCGCTCAGTCGTGGCTCTCGTTCCCAAACAAACCTCCTCCTACAATATTCCTGCCTCTGCCAGTATATCCCGGACTTCTATCAGTAGATACGGTAAGAAGCAGTTCAGTGCTGGCACAGTGGCTCACGGGTGGTGACTGGGCATTGCTCCTGCTGCCCAGCACCAGCATGTCGTGCAGCTCACACCTTTACAGGGGAACTAGCGGATGGGGCTGGGGTTGAAGCTGCCTTTGTTGCAGGAAAGCAACACCTTAAGGGAATTAGGTGGGGGAAAAGCAGCAGCTTCCCCCGAAGAGCCACACCACGTCAGCCAAAACGAAAGTACGTTCGTGTCCCAGGCAGAAAAATGCCCTTGGTTTTTGCAAAGGCTTTTCCATCTATGAGCAGAACAGCAAAAAGACCAGAGAAGCTGAGAGGAAGGAAAAGGAAATGCCAAGCATGTGAGCAGCCCTTGGAAATGTGGGTCTTGGAAAAGCCCAGGGAGAGGGTTTTGGCTCAGAGGGGATGGGTGCTGCGGAGCAGCCGTGGGGCTCCCGCTGCAGCAGAGCAGCTTTGTGTCCCTTGCACGTCCGCGTGAGAAAAGCCTGCTCCCTTCACCTCTTTCTTGAAGTGGAGGGTCCCGAATTCTTAGCTAATGGGTCAAAAATGGGTAACAGCAATCTTAACTCAGCGTGCTGGGCTGCACACACCTGGGAATTTGGTATTTGCATAATAATGGGGCTCGGCACTTCATGGAGGGTCCCTGAAGACACTGCAGCCTGAGTGAATGAGTCCGCAAGGTGCCAGGTGTGTATTTATAGCACTAAATCCACAATAATAGTAATAATACACTTCCATAAAAGGCAGCAGTGGCAAAATCTCTTAATACGCTGATCTCCTTCATTATCTTGCATTTTGCAGAGTGTTTTACAAACAAGAGGACTCCTGACAAACCCGTCTCCTTCTCTTGTTTATAGCTCCCAAAATAACGTTTTGGGGTTTTTTTCTCAAGCAAGAGTTCTGAGGAGCCACCCACAGGAGAGTCTTTAGGCAAAAGCCAGGAGAAAAGGCCTTTCTCCCTGCGAGGTGCAGTCCACCCGCGTGCCCAGCACTTCTCGTTCTTCGGGGGATGGAAAAAACAAGACTGGGTCACAGAACCCGAGTCCTCAACGCTCACTGATCTGTGGCAGATGGAAAAGCTTTTGCAAACTCCCAGTGCGAACTATCATCATTGCTCATGTTAAGATTAATATTTCTAATTGTGCAGACAGAATTTCAATGAGATACTTATTTACTTCCCCCGTTATATATCAGTGCAGAGCTGTGTTTAAAAATAGAATTACTAGATGCTTCCCTAGCTGTCCCCCTGTCTGTCTCCTTAATTACATCAGTTGGAGTACTCATTTATCCAAGCCTTAATCAGAGATGAAAATCTAGCTAGTTTGGTAATGACTTGCATATTTCCCTTGGCTGATTTGTGATTGATCCCCTCACTCTCGATGAGGAGGGTGAGCTGCGAACTGGAGGCTAAACTTGAGAAAATGCACGAGGTTCCCAGAGAACAAAGAAATTTAGTGAGAAGAAAAAACCCGACAACGCATGGTTGGGCTACACAGCCCCGTGTCTCGGCTTGAGGACACCGTGGATGGGATCCAGGGAGGCACGTTCTTTGGGAAGTTAAATAGATCTCACAGCCCTCCATGATTTCTGAGCAATTAAGTGAAAAACCTTTGTCTGATTCCCTTTGAGCTCCCCTTTCCCTGCCGGGAGGAGGCAGAGGCAGGGGCAGCGGGGAGGCCGGGATGCAGGACTGGCCTCGGGCTCTGCAGTCAGTGCTCAGCATGAGCCCTTGTTGCTCTAATGAAAGCCTCAAGGAGAAGAACAGCAGTTTCTTCTGCCCTTTGTGCTGGTTGTGCTGGGCAGCTTGTTATTGTTTAAAAAATGCTGGCATCAGGACTCCGGTGCTGCAGGAACTGGTGCCCAGGGTTAATGTGTGTGAGCTGTGACTCATGGAGGAATCATGTGTGGACCTGTGTTATTGAGTTCACATAAGTGAAGGATGTGAACGGAGCAGAAAAGTCCATGTCTGAGTGTGAAAAGAGAAAGGCTCGAGCCTGAGGGACTCTGTTCAGCAAAGACCAACACGTACCTTTGGTAAACCCCGAATTTTGTCGGTGCCTGGGCGGTACTACAGTTCATTACGCCATAAAAAAGCCAGTGCAGATGATTTTGTTATTAATGAGCATGGTGGGATCACCGAGGAGAGACAGTGCAATGAAAAAGGGGTTTGCTTTGAGCGTGACTGACTTCTCTTCCCGTCCGTCAGACTCCACCTTCCGCTACACCGGCAGCCCCGACAGCCTGCGCTCCCGGGCCCCCATGATCACCCCCGACCTGGAGAGCGGGGTCAAGGTCTGGCACTTGGTCAAAAACCACGACCACGGCGACCAGAAGGAAGGAGACCGGGGCAGTAAGATGGTGTCTGAGATCTACCTGACCAGGCTGTTAGCTACAAAGGTAAGTGCCATGTGCTGAATTCGCTTGGGAAATGCATAGGATGGTCCCTCTCAACACTTGCCAGGGGGCTTGTGCAGCCCCTAATGATGCCCAGCTCCCGGGGTGGGGGACTGTCCCCATGGGGCCTTCCTGGGCCCTGGGGGTTGGTGTCTGCTGGAGCAGTGATAGAAACACAGCCCAAATTTCCTCACACTGCAGGGTGATTGCTGCAATACTTCATTCTTCTGCGTGGTACTAAAACACAAAGAGTTGGGGAGACGCAGCAGTGCCTGTAAATATTTAACCAGTTTCCTTGGCGAGAGAGAGTTTTCCTGCCTTTCACCATGTGTTCATCGCTGTAGATAACGCAGATTTGCTTTTGAAAGCAAAATAAATTGTTTCAGGTTAGAAATAAAGAATAAGTAGCTGCAAGCTGGAGCGTTCCCCCGGGGTCCTCCGGCAGCGCAGTCGGTGTTCGGAAAGCCCCGACCTTGCTCGCTCTTGGGGGGTCCGTGGCGGCACTTTGCGGGGCTGCGCCGAGCTGGTGACACCATCTGGCATCTCTTCTGCCACCGCCGCGTGGCCGAGCGGGCACCCGCCCCCCCCCTTCACCTTCTTGGTGGCTGCTCCCATTAGGGTACGCTGCAGAAATTTGTGGACGACCTGTTTGAGACGCTGTTCAGCACCGTGCACCGCGGCAGCGCGCTCCCGCTCGCCATCAAGTACATGTTCGATTTCCTGGATGAGCAGGCGGACAAACACGGCATCCACGACACCGACGTCAGGCACACGTGGAAGAGCAATTGGTAAGGGTGGAGGAGGAGGGTGGAAGGGGAGGCAGACCTGAGTGTTGAGCAATTGTTTGTGTCCTGGGGAAGAGCAGAGATGGGGAAGAGCTGTGGGAAGGCTGGGAATAACCGCGTCCCATAGCTCCAAAGCATGAGATGTGCCGCGAGGCCGAGTTAATGCTTGTCACAGAATCACTGAGATTGGAAAAGACCTTGAAGATCATCTAGTCCAACCACTAACCTCACACTGGCCGTTCTCACCGCTGCTGCCCCGTGCAGACGGGCAGTGGGTCTGATACTGGCTCGTGCCGCCCCCGTGCACACACGAGCCGAAACCCCGGCGCGGTGTTAAACCACGGGCCCAGCGCTCCCCGAGCCCTCCACCCGCGGGAGCTGGGCGCTGGCCTGGGGCTGGACATCCACAAACCTGGACTTTGGAAATCGCTGGCTTTGCAGAGCTGCTGTGGTAGCGAGAAGCAGGGCTCCCTGCCCGCACTGCCCTGCCTGCACGACCGTTGTGTCGTGAGCTGGCAGGGGAGAGCTCGGTGGGCGCCTGCACCTTCCCCATCGCTCCGGGCAGCAGCTGGAGCAGCGGGAGGAGGTGGCAGGGAGGGAAGGAGCCAGCCCCACGTGTGGGCGACATGGACTGCGGCTCGGTCCAGCCTTCTCCAAACAATGGAAGCTCTCACATCTCTGCCTCTGCTGTTATTTTAGGATTAAATGCTCTGTGGGTTAGAAATTTACTTCTGCGAGGAAGAAAAAAAATGCACAACAAATCGTTGCTCCCTGAAGATTTTTGTATTTTCCCCCCAAGTCCCTCATGGTTTAAAGGGCCTCTAATCATCACGGCTGCAAAAGCTTGAGTTCCCTGCTAAGGCTGTGGGAAGCTAAAAACAATTTATTTAAAGCCTTAGAAGAAGGAGTTATTAGGATAAAAACTCTCGAATCACAAAAAAAAAAAAAAGAGATGAGACTTCTTAAAGCAATAAAAAAGTGTCAACTGGCAGAGTTTGGTCTGCCAGAGCCATCAGACCACATGAGCCCTGGTCCTTCCCTCTGCCCTGGGGACCTCAGGACAAGGGCGAAAATTTGGTCTTGGAATAAGCTCTGCTGAGCACTTCGGTCAGCTGCAGCACTCCCGAAAGGGAATTTTTGTGGGGAGATGGGAGAAGGCTTATGCCCCTGGAGCAGCTGAAAGCAAAAGGGTGGCTTGGGAGAGAGAGCTGGGCTAAGCTGGGGATCAGGGGAGCTGGCGTGTGGGCATGCGGCCGAGCTGCCTGCCTGCAGTGAGGCAAGAGTTAAGGCTGAAGCCTTCGGTGCAGCTCGCTGGATGGAGAGAGCCGGGACTTGAAAGGTAGTAGAAAGCAGCAGCTGTTTTTTTGATCCTGCTATACAGCCAAAGAAAAAAGGAATAATAATTCCCCTTTGATTGCAAAGGCCTCGGGATTTGGGGACAAAGCCTCTGATGCCTGCTGCACCGCTGGCAGGTGCTGGACTGCTGAGCGGCCGGACGAGAGCCCTGTGCTGCAGCCGCCCGCTGGACAGAGGCGGTGGAAGGGGCAAATCCGGGGGAAGGGGCAAACCTGGTGGAAGGGGCAAACCTGGTGGAAGGGGCTCCTCACCCGGCGAGGGGCCGCTCACCCAGTGCCACCAAACGCCGCTCGCCTCTACCCCGGCACGGCCAGCCCTCCCTCAGCGCCTGTGGCCCACGGGGCTCTCGCCACTTCACCTCCCCGTGCAGGAGCAGACCCCGGAGCAGCTCCCGGGGTGCAGCAGGACCCATCACAAGCAATCGGGGCAGCACTGGGCTAACTGGTGTTTGACAGACCTGGCCCAGCTCCTAATCAGATTATTGCCACTTCCCAACATTTGTATTCTGCTTGGGAACACAAGCCGCAGCAAATGTCCTTTCCTAACCTTTGTCTTAACATCTAATTTTTATTTCTTGATCTCCCTGCAGCCTCCCTCTCCGATTCTGGGTTAATGTAATCAAAAACCCCCAGTTTGTGTTCGATATCCACAAAGGCAGCATCACGGACGCCTGCCTCTCTGTTGTGGCTCAGACCTTCATGGATTCCTGCTCCACCTCGGAGCATCGCCTGGGCAAGGATTCCCCCTCCAACAAGCTGCTGTACGCCAAGGACATCCCCAGCTACAAGAGCTGGGTGGAGAGGTGAGCGGCAGCGCGCGGGCAGCCGCGGCGTGGGTGCAGGGCTGGCCTGGGTGCCCCAGTGCTGCCTGGCCCCCCCGTGCTGAGCAGCTTTGCTCTCGGCGGCCGCTGATGCAGGAGGGTGGCTCTGGCAGCGCAGCGCCGAGCATCGCTGCTCTTCGTTTCAGCTTGTTACAAACCAGGATCCTGTTTCGCTAGATGTAAGCACAAAGCAAAATGATGTCCTTTTCCCTGCAGAGCTCGGTTTAGATCTCACGAAGAGGGGCGTTCTGAGCCCGCGTGTTCCTCACGGCCTCCCTCGGCCTTTCCTTCCCGCAGGTATTACGCGGACATCGCCAAGCTCCCCGCCATCAGCGACCAGGACATGAACGCCTACCTCGCCGAGCAGTCGCGCCTGCACTCCGCCGAGTTCAACATGCTGAGCGCGCTCAACGAGATCTACTCCTACGTCAGCAAGTACAGCGAAGAGGTGGGTGTCCCCCGGGGCGGGCACGGCGGCGATGCCACCCCAGAGCTCCTTCCTCCAACCCTGTCCTTGATGCAGCACGACCGTAGCCGGCACCGCTGCTGTTCTCTTGGCGTGCAAAGAGGTTCAGGTCCTGGCCATGCCTGTAGGACATTTCCCAGGAGGACTGGGAGATAAAATGTTGTGGGAGCAACTGGATTCCTCAGCCTTGGCATACGCCCAGTGCAGCCCACTCTTAAATGCAGTGGGAAATCGTCATGACCCAGTGAAGCTCCCCAGAAACATCCCTGTCTTTTGGGAACAGCGTGGTACAAATCCCATGGTGCAGTGACGCAGACTCCTGTTTGCAAAGAATCCCTGGCAGCGAGAGCTCCTTTAATGAATGCATCACTTGAGACCAAGTTCTTGCCATCTGTTCCACCCCTTCATTTCAGTGTAAGAAGAACCTGGTTTGCAATTATGTCCGTTAAAAGGCAGGGTTTTGTCGTTGAATCGCATGTATGCCTTTGCGATACAATGCCACGGCTGTTTTCTGATGAGGGTTTAAAAACCTCATCACTTTCGTGCTAAACGAGACAAGACACGTGGAGCCCAAGGTATAGGAGTGGGAACGGTTGTGGTGTGTGGGTACCGTGCACCGAGCCGTCCAACAAATCGGTGAGCGCGGCTGCGGCACGGCGAAGCGCTCGTCGCGTTGTTCGCCATCCGTTATTTAAGCTTCACACATCCACATGCCAAGTTGCTCACATCTTGCTGCCCACCCACCTCTACCACCCCCTCTCGCACACTGACTTCTTTCTCTTTTTTTTTTTTTTTTCTTTTCCTTCTCTCTCCCTTTTTATTTTTTTCTGCACCAGCTCATTGGGGCTTTGGAGCAGGATGAACAGGCACGTAGGCAGCGTCTGGCATACAAAGTAGAGCAACTTATTGGTGCCATGTCTATTGAGAGCTGAAGAAAGGTTGCGGTGCTCACAGACGGCAAAGGGCAGAGGGTTGCCCAGACTCTCGGGAATTAAGAGGGAGAACAGGAAAGAAAGGCGCTGGACACACATAAATACCAAGGCTCTTCTGGAGGGAGCAGAGACTGGCCCAAGGACTGAGTGTTCAAAATCGTACAGGATCCGGTTTGAAAAGGCAGGAAGAAAAAAAGAAAAAAAAACAACAAAGCATCTCAAAGTCAAACCAAGACGGATCACTTCTTCAAGTATACATGGAAAGAAGGAACCTGGAAAGTCTGGATGTCTCCATGACTGCTGCTTTGCATGAAAATTGTTTGATGTATATTAGAAAATAAAACTTTATTTAAAGTTTTTTTTTTTTTTTTAAAAAAAAAAAAAAGAAAAAGGAATAAAAAAAAGAAGATAAATAGAGCAAAAACCACAGAGGCCACAGAGATAATCCTGGCGACAAGATCCAGCTCTGAATCCTGTCCTTGAGACACTCCCGAGGACGTGGCTCGGGGGCTCTGCGAATGGACTCTTACACCAATTGGAAAGTCCGGAAAATGGAAATTTTCCTCTTTTTGGGATCTTACAAAAATTATGAGCACAAGTTTGCACCACACCTTTTTACACAAGTAAAATAGCAGTTTAGCCAGAGAATAGTTCAGTGGCTGAGGAACTTATAGGCACTAGAAGAAACTTTACCTGAATTGCAAAACCATCAGATCGTCCAACCTGTCTTGAAATCCAGCTTTATCTATGTATTTATATAGTGTCAATATATATATATTTTTTTTAATTCCCATTTACTGTCGAACGAGGAGAGATCTGATTTTAAACGCTTTCCCCTTTCCCCCCCGTTCCGCCTGGCTGGGTGCTGCGGGTGCCGCCGAGCAGCAGCGGCCGCCCCGCCCCGCTGGGCAGAGCCGGGATGGAGCCTCCTCGGTTGCGTTTTGGTGGCGGTTTCTGGCAGCTGCCTCTGATTTCTTGCAGTAAAAACCAACAAACCCCCAATGTTTACAGTGAGCGATACTTGAAAAGACTCGACGTAGCGAGATATTTATTGCTTTTCTGTTTGACCTGCAGAGTTGATCAGCACAGGCTCCCTTTGAGTTTCTCTGCCAGCGTTCGCAGTGTCGCCCGGGGTCAGGCGCAGGACTTGTATTTCCACTAGGGAGGGGAAGGAAATCTTTGCTCTAGGCAAGGGAAAACCTCAACCAGCACTCCACAGGCCAGCTAGCGCTGCTGTCTTGTCTCCGTCTCAGTGTCTCGTTGTCATATTCAGTTCCTCGTTGGCCCCGGCGACGTGTGTTCTTGTGGCCAGTGATGGGCAAATGTTTGTGAGTGTTATTTCTTTCAAAGACACCAAAGCTTATGTGTGTCCCTTTGTAGAGCGCCAGGAGGGGAAGGAACGCTGTAAATATTTCTCTCTGTAATAAATATTGATATTTGTGCAGGCCGCAGTGGGGAGGACAGGGCGATTAGGTCTAATGGAAAGACAAGTATTGACTGCATGAGCTTGGCAGTGGCAGCAAAACAGCTCCCAGGCTCTGCTCAGCCCTGCCCGGGCAGTGCCGCGCCGGACTGGGGCCTTAGTTTGCAGCCAGTGTGTGTTGAAGGAAAAATCCATTTTCAAATCCATCCCCCTCCTCCACCGTTCCTGCCCAGAAGAGCCCGGGAGGGTCCCCACGGGCTCCCCGTGCGCTGGGAGAGCTGCCGGCTTTTGGTCTCGAGATGCCGTCCTGAGGGGAGCCAGCACCAGGGGAGAAGCATGGAGAGAAATACTCAGGAAACTTATTAATTTTATTACCGTTCAGTAAAAGCCATGCCAAGTCCACTTTCTTTTGGTAATCCACTTCTCAGAGTTTCTCTGGGCCCTGTTAATACTCTGGAAGAAAATACTAACGATAATGATCAACCTTGTGCAATAAGTTCTTGACATTTACAACAGCCCGAGCTTTGTAACTGGAGGACTTGGATTTACTGAGACACGAGGGAGCTGGCAGGAACAGAGGGACCGAGAAGCAGAGCAGGATTCGCAGTGCCCATTATCGGGAGAGTTCCCTTCCCGGGGATCCCTCTCCCTCACAGTGAATCTAACGTCAAAGACAGAAAATGTGCAAATGTCTGGGTTGTCCTGTTAAAGTCTGCCGGGTGGAGCCCAGCGCCTCGGCCGTGGTGAAGGAGCCGTCATCGCCCGCCCTGCTCTTTGCTGCTGGTGTTACAGGGGATCGCAGAGTGTCAGGTTTTGAAATCCTCCGGGGCTCATTTTCTCCTGGTTTCTGTCACTGCTGCTCACAGCGATCCGGCACGCAGCTGGTGTGAGCGATCTCCAGTTCTCTGGTCTAGTTGTGGTCGTTGTTTTGGCTAGTCGTATTCAGAGCATTCACCAAATTCTGACGGTACTCTGAAACCCAAAGAAAGCTCTCCGCATGCTTTCCAGTTTCCAAACGTGTCTTAAGTGTTAGTCTGAACCGTTGTCTGTGCGGGATTCACAAAACGTGAGTTCTGCCCAAAGCAAAGACCTGGCTTTTCATCACCTGGGTGTTGGTGAATGTGTGCTTGTCCCACAGCCCGAGTCAGGGCCTCCTCGTCCCCTTTTCTTCACATCTATTTAAGAGGCTTTTGCGTTTTTAAGCCTGTTTTCCTCCTCCTGCTCTCCACCGTCGGGGCAGGAGCACCCTATAAGCAAACCTGTTGTCATTCCCCCCTCCTCGGTATTTTCTCAGCCGTCCCCCGGGTTTGTCGGGCTGTGCTGAGGGAGGGTTCTGCAGGCACCCAGCGGCGATGCCACCGACCAGTCGCTTTCCCACGTGGGTTTTGGCTGCCTGTTCCCCCGTGGGCAGGCGGCAGGAGATGGGGGCACACGGGAGGTCCCCCTGCTCGGGATGCTCCGTGTGCTGCCTGGTTTGCCCCTTAGCAGCCTCTCCCCCTACTGCTGGCAGGAGCCTGCGAAAGGGCCCGTAAATTGGGATTATCCTGGAAGGTAAAGGTGAGGGGGAAAAAGAGAAATAATTGCAGAGCCCAGAGGGATTGGTTTGTGAGCAAGGATTAAAAGAATCCAGCATGTCCAAGCTGGCTCAGCGCAGGGTCTGTATTCCATGAATACCCCAGAGCACTAAGGAGAGAAGTGGACAAGTGAGTTTATTTTCTGTGCAAGTTGAGCAGAGGAGGAAAGGGAAAGCAGCAGGGGCACTTTGCAAACCAGTGAGCTATTACACTTTTGACTGACTTCCGAGGGAAGCGGCAGAAACATCTCTGCTTCCCTCATCTGAAAAGGCGTCAGCAGGATGGTGTAGGGAACGGCACCGTGCTGAAATAACCCGCCACGGGTCTGCTCGTGAGGGTCGACATGAATTATGGATCTTTACAGGCAATTATACGGAATGAAGCAACATATCCCCTTGGAGCAAAGTGCTTGTAATCTATTGCCTTGTTCGAATCCGACTTTTCAGTTACTCCTTTGGGAAGAGGAAGCCTCAGATCTCACATGGCGTTTTCTTCGCACTTGCAGCAAACTGGACTCGAGGTTTGGTCAGGAGGGGGCAGTGACTTTGCCTTAGATGAAATGATTTCACATCCCTCTCATTGCCCCCTTCCTCCTACAAGGCCGGTTGGTGTTTGGATTCTCCAGATCACTTCGTTTCAGGTATTTCGACATCAAAGTGGGAGACGTCATTTTTCCGGAATCTCTCTGCCTGGTGTCACTGCTTAAATAATTCCATTTAATCTTCTGCTCATGAGCTATCAAAGCACCCACTCCAAGGGGGAGCAAGGTGCTAATCAAACGCTTCTCCACCTTGAAAGCCTTTATTAAAAACCCATATACAAGAGTCTAACTTATAGGCAAGCTTGTCTCTGCATGAGCCCCGCTGTGGAGCACCACAACGCTGCAGCCCACCAAAGTACAGAGGATGTGGACGTCAAATAGTCCACGCTTTGCCATTAAGGACACGTTTATATTCAGAGGGAGACGGGAGAAATCAGCATGGCCAAAGTGCCGGAGCCCCAGTGGGATCCAGCATGGACCAGTCTGCTGCTGCGTGAAGACCCAACCATGGGAACCAGCGCTGAGAAGCAAAATCACTGCCACGGCCTTGGTGCTGGTGGGCAGCGTCCCGGGCAGTGTCGGGGAGGTTTGTCCCTGAAGGATAAGGTGCCTTCTCCCGGGGTCACGGTGCTGTGGCACAGGGGGGGATGGCGAGTGCAGCCGCTCGAGGCGGTGGCAACAGAGACCTTCATCACAGCAGTGCCTTCAACACACTGTCTTAAAATCCTAATGGCCCATCCCCACATACTCTCCTACCTTCAACTGGACTTCACCAAAAATGTCATAACGTAGGAAACAATTCGGGTGGGCACGTGGAGGACAAAAAGCAAGAGGGCTTAAAGCTCTGGGGTGGCGTTCCCGAGCGCTGTTGACTCCGAGCTCCTCGGCGAGAGTCGTTTAAGTCTGTGCGGAAAGGGTCAGAGCCCTTCCCTCCTCCGGCGGGCACCACCTACACACGGGGTCATTTCCAGAAGTCCCGAGCAGCCAGCGAGGATGAGGAGCACCGAGCTGCCCACTGCCCTCGCCCCGTCCGCAGGGCAGCAGGTTGGCAAAGGGCAGAGCAGCTCCCGGCACGGTCCCTGCGATGCTCCGGTCCAAGCCTGTGCCTCCAGCCTGTTCCCTGACAGCAGCCCAGCTGCGTTCTCGCCTCTCACTGGCTCTTCTCCATCCAGTCACAGTGCTGTCAGAGCTCACCTGGCCGGGGACTCGGCTCGCCAAACGAAATGAATCTAAAATAGACTGACTTGAATAAGCTGGGGCATCAGGGAAAGCTCACGAGTGACTGTACCCTGGAGAGAAGAAAAAAATATTCCGAGAAGGATAAAAAACTGACATCAAAGATGCATTAAAATGCTTCAGCCATCCTGTTTCAGAATTGCGTTTGTAGGATAAACCGCAGCCGATAACCTGTTGTATATAGTTGTGTGCGCTGGGTAGGGCTGAGGGGGCAGCCCCGTCCGTAGTGAATGTGTCTTCAGTGCAAACACCCCCATCGCCCCGGCCTCCTCCCCGCCTCCGCCCCAGGCCAGGAGGCAAAGCACTGGTGACAGCTATGAGGCCACCCATATCCACGTGGACAGGATGTATGTTGTTTTTTTTTTTTTAATTAGACGTTTCTGTGTGGAAATACCGGAGTCAGAGGTGCCGGTGTGCGCTGGGAGGAAGGTGCCATTCAGGACCCTTTGAGCTGAGCAACCCTGAATGTGCAATTTAAACGTAGGCTGGTCAGATTAGATTTGAAGGGGTAAAGGAGAGGAGTCTTCGAAGGGATTTTCGCTGCCTGGAAGGCTTTGTGCAGAGCTTCTGTTCACCAGGAGAAAGCCCCAGCCTGTTGTGGGCAAGGCAGGGCTGCGGGTGGTGCCTCCACCTTCCTGGCTCCTGGCAGAAAACGCTGGGTCTTGGCACACACCCGGCAGCCCGGGTGCTTCACTGGGTGCTGGGGGCCGTGGCGGGAGGTGGGGGGCGAGGGCAGCGGGGCAGCACAGACCGACTGCTCCCTGGCTGGGAAAGCGGCTCCTCGTCCGCTGCGGCTGCACCGGGAGCAGCTCGAAGGCAGCTGAGGGTGTTTCGGCCGGGCTGTGAGCACGGCGGTGTCTGTGTGCTCGTTCTTTGAGATCCCCGTTTTCCCCCGTGTTACCCATTCCTCTCCTTCTTTCTTTGTAAAAGTGGAATATAATACCGAAAAAAACAGACGTTCCTGCAGCGCATAAGAACACGCTCAAAAGACCCGCAGGGTCCATCCAGTTGCACGGACAATATCCCAAACTCTGGGCCTCCCGAGGCTGCCAAATCAAATACGAGATCTCCTGTATGGCCTTTCCTTTGAGATTTTGAATACCTCTCTTTCAAATAAGCTTGGAAGTTTATGCAACAGCTTCTCCATCAGATGTTTCCATCTCACGAACTGGGCAGCAGGAAGAGGAGCCGTCGGAAAGTTCATTTGCTGATGAGCTGATTTTGCCGAGTTATTTCGTAGCTTCAGAAGATACCGGCAGGAAAATTTCCTTCTCATTGAGGAGTGTTTCTGTGTTCATGGCACCTCGGGGGCTCTTACGGAGAGCGGTGGGAAGCAGCAAGGGGAAGGGAAATGTACAGGTACTAAAGCTTCTGGAGTCCCCAGAAATGTCACAGAAAGTAGAGATATCAGCCGTGGAACAGATGCTGATTTCTTCTGCCCCTCTCCTTAAAATAAACACACGCCAGTTTTTAGGGGACTTGTGTATTGGCAGGAATAATGAATTGGTTGGTGTCCGTACCCATTCCACCGTATCGTTCTCTGGCTCCTCCCCTCCCCATTATACTTGACACACTGGAGTTCTGTATTATATTTTTTTTAAGATGATTGTCTGTTTTTTTGTTGTTTTTACAAGTGTTGTGGAAAAAAAAAAAATGTAAGAAAGTTTAAGTATTTAAAAATGTTCCAAGGAAAAAGGGGGTTTTGTTATTATTCTAATATATTATTGTGTACCTATTGTAAATATGAAACACTCCTATTTTGCAAGCCAAGGACTCACTTTGTACTGTTGTTATATATAAATAAAGTTTACTGGTTAAAAAAGCCCTCCTGAGCGGGTCCTTGTTTTCTGACATGTGCCGTGTGGCATTTGCTGTGTATTTGTGAGAAATATTTACTTACTGAAAGTAAGTAAAAAGCGGCGCGGGTGAGGCTGTGGCCGCCCTTGCCGGCCTCTCTGCTCTTCAAGAGCCATCAGCACAGTTTCAGCATCGTTGCTCGCTGGCCTCGAGCTCAGGAATGTCCTGTGAGACGTGGTAGTTCATCCCCTCACGAAAAGGGGTCGGGGGGGGCTGAGATGTCTCCGAGGAGCATCCGTCCTCGCAGGCAGCCCTACGGACCGCGGGAAATACCCGGCACTTCCACTCCAGCCAGGGAAGGAGCAGGCAAATGCTGTTGACAAATAAAAGGCCTGGATGAGTTCTTCGTGTTTTCCCCTCCTTGAAATTATCAGTCCTTAAGGTAAAATGCGTTTCCTTCCATTTCATAAATTCAAGCTAACATTTTAGCAAACGCTGAGAGGCATCTGCTGAGTAGTAGGAATCAGCAAGTGACTTCTTCAGCAGCTGTCTGTCAACTTTAATGACCAATATGGTTGCAATTACAGCAATGAACTTTCTCTTAACAGCCCAAAATTACTCTGGATGATGATAAGTGACAGAAAAATGGAGACCCTTAAGGAAGCATTAAAAAAGAAACATGGGGATCTGAAACAAGAGGTCTGACTGCCTTTTCTGAAGGATCTTAGGGTTTTTTCTTTCTAAATTAGGTACTAAAAAGGATAAATCTAACCCAGAAGGGGAAGGCATGGCACACTGGATCGCAGCAGGGAGTTCAGTGCTGCCCCAAGATGCAGTTTTTATGCAGGCGCTTGACACCGAGTCCGCTCGTTTTAGCGTAGGGCTGATGGGGTGATGGGAAGCTGCTCCTGCTGGAAGCCAATGCAAATACATCATGTCAGTGCGGCCCTCGGCTCTGCACGCTGGTCGTTTTATCTTATTTTCCTCAAATTGAGAGCAAAGCTTGCTATGAACCTTAGGAAGGCAGTTGGGCCACATCCTGCTATCTCCCACTTCAAACCAGTAGATTTTGACCTCGGCAGATTGATCCCAGTGGCTCCCTTAGCTCTGATGCTGTTGGTCCCGTAACGGTTCCAGTGCTGAACCCGGGTGTGTCAACGCAATATTGAGTGAATTTTCAACCGGTTTGTGAAGTTAGGGAATAAAAGAGGAGGTGATTGTTTTCCACCTTGGGTTAGTCTAAAGCAAGAATAAAATCTGAACTGAACTGAGGTTCCCCAAGCTTTCCTGAGGGCTGGAGGAGAGGGGGATGCTATTTTACCGGGGAGCTCTGGAGATGCTGATCGCTGTGCTGACTTGCCCCCGGCCACTGCGTCGTAGCAGAGACCCTGGGGGCAGGATGGCTGCTGCCAGGGAGCGTTTCCACTCCGCGTGTGACCTTTGAAACGTTATCGACTCCTTCAGCTCAGCAAAGGCGAAAGAAATTTCAACGTGAATCGACAGCATTGACCAGGGGGTCATTTGTATTCATCTGCACCTTGTTAATATATTTAATATAGTAAGTATACTCAAGGAAAAATTACTCTTTATCTGGCATGCACTTCACAGGGCTTTATCAGCACTGACAAGGTCAAGTGATGCTTAATACAGGTTATATAAAATGCAGATGGCTCAGATCCCTCTATCATCTCCCACGTCCGGTACAGAAGAGCCACAAACATGCTTGGAAAGGCATCACTGACGCAGCAGGTTTGGACCTTGTTTGGGTCCCTGCAAACATCCCTCTACAAAGGCTGCTGTTAGAGCATCAAGCCGGGGTACCACGGCTCTGCGGGCCGCCTGGAGCAGTTTTTCCCTCTGAAACAGCAGGAAAAGAGCTTTGAGTTTACTCTCCATCCCCCGTTTTAGGTTTTGTCTGTGCTCACCCTCTGCATCCCCTCAGCCAGCTTTTGTTTCAGCTTCTCAATATATGGGACCGATTGCCCTGTTGCTTCATGACCATCACTCTGTAAAGAGCGGAGAGGATTTTGGACATCCCGGTGCTGGTTTTTCAAGCCTGGTTACCAGGGTGAGCTAACGGAGGTGACACTTCCAATTATCAACTACAGTCGTGGCATTAATTTTGACTTGTTTAAATTCCAGCATATTTTCTCTTCTGCGAATGCTTAGCTAGAGGGAGACATATCATTGTATGTAACTGGACAGTCACCTTAAACTGGCAATAATAACCACAAAAATCTCTTGCTTTTCATCCCAATAAGCGTGCACGGTCGCGTTATATTGAAGTGGCTAACTCATTTGTAATTTAGCTTGGTGCTGGGTGGACTCTTCATTGCTTAAAATGAAGCAGATCACTAATAACCACGTAGAGACCCCTCCTCCCTAACCCGGAATTGTTCCGTGGGACACCAGGACCCCCCACTGTCCCTGCTGTGGTGGCACATTTCCCCGGGCGCTGGGTCAATCTGGAACCTGCGAAGTGTCAGCGTTGCCAGTGGGGGCATCTGACATCAACGGGATGAAAAGTAGTTAATTAATTTAGAGATCTTCCAGAAGAGAAATCTTGTCCCTGCTCCAATGTATAGATATTTTTGTGCGGGCAAGTAAAAAAAAAAATAATATTCATGTTTTATAACACCGTATAAAATAGATGTACAGCATAATAGAACATGAATGTGTCTATCTATATCTATTTGTATCACGAGTGTGCCCCGGGGTTCATGTTACACTTAAAATTACAAATATTGACGCCAAAACAAAGGATTTGTTTTCAGTCCAAAATAATACTATGAAAATGGAAACCACTCAGGCTTTATTATCGCTTCATAATTAACTCCAGTGAAGGAATCTAATTACAAATGTTCAGTGCTGCCCTATGGCAAAATGTCTAAGAAAAGGGAAGGAGGATGGCCAGGCTTAAACAACTCAGGTAAAAATTAACTCCATGGTAATATCTGATAATTAAGAATGTCTCTATCAGCCTGTGTGGGTATTAATGAATTGGGCCGCTCTTTTCACATTTGATTACTGGAGTTTTATGACTGCCATTTCGCCCTTACTGCTCCTGGAGGTGGGCTTGTCTATGGCCTGAGCACCCGGAATAACGTTTCGGGGTTCAGAAGCAGATCCCGTTCATCCCGACTTGCTTGGAGGCAGATTTTGGAGCTCCGTAACAGGGGCCACATGGGGCTGTGCCTGTGTCCTCCCTCGGTGCTTCAAGCTTCTCCCACAGCACCTCGGATCTGAAGCAGGCTGGGAAGGGGGCAGGAGGCTCTCGGCGCTGTGGGACACATGACGCGGGGTTTCTGCTTTGTCACTCCTTTAAAGCAAACCCACGATCGTCATCATTTGGACACGATCTTTTGCGTGGCTTTGCCAAGAGCTGTGGGGATTTGCTGTGCTCCTTGTGATGGTCAGGCACCCCCCTCCGTCCCCGGGGGTGCAGAGCTGGGTCCCAGCACCTCCAGCCCCTCGGGGTGGGCAAGGGGGGTGCTCTGGGGCTGCAGAGCCCCTCCAGCTCCCCCCCGCCTCCCGGCCACCTTCGGAGGGCCACTGACAGCCAGCTACTGGCTACAGCAGAGAGGCCAGTAGTTGGATCTCCATAGTCACAAAAGCTGCAGATGCCACAGCCTCCTGCTGTTCCAAAGCAATAAACATCCTCCATTTACTCCTGCAGTGGAGAGAATTATTCTCCCCTGCGGTTCACCCCCAGCTTTGCTGCTGCCTTGCCGTGGGAGCATCCTGCCCGCCTGCCTCCATCCCCTCCGAACAGCATCACGGAGCTGCTTCCCAGCCCTTCTGCAGGTGGTGGGAGAGGTAATTATATATCGAGAGCCCCAGATGAAAGGCGCTGCAGAAGGACCGAGGACTAAAACCTTCATTAGCCGAGTCCCCGCTGGGTGCTGGGGCTGGCTCTGGACACGCACACCCTGCATGCAGAGGTGGCGGTGGGTGGCCTGGGAGCGGCGGGGACGTGGGCAGGGCAGCTGGCAGGGATGCAGGCAAGGCAGCAGGCAGGGCAGAGGGCAGGGATGCAGGCAGGGCTATGGACAGGACAGCGGGCAGGGATGCAGGCAGAGATGCGGGCAGGGATGCACCGAGCTGGCTGCCATTGTCATTCTGCTCCAGCCGCTGCCACTGCCCGGAGAGGAGGAAGCGTTTTCTCTTTTGTTAGCACTCAATTAGGCTAAAATTTTTTTTTTTTTTTTTTTTTTTTTTTTCTTCCCATGTTCAGCTTTCACAAAGGGAAGTGTTGGGATGATCTCGAGGGGAGAGTTGCTCTTGCATGAGTTTTTAAGCATTCTTTTGACGTTCATTTGATTTTTGCAGCAGGAACCCACAATCTCTCTGAGCTCGCCACAAAGGCATTGCCTCAGGCTGTACAGGAGTTTATAGACTAGGTCACAGACCTCATGCATATTTTATATGTGCTCAAATAGCATTTTAGCCTTTGACAAGCACAGGTCAGAGTGCCAGCACCCTGCCTGGGAGGGAAGTGGCTCAAGGCTAGTCACACAGAACAAATACACCAAACAAATAGATCAAGCACCAGAAATACTCAGATCCACTTTGGGAGAGAACTCAGAGTATTGTTCTGTGCGTGGCCTGGCCTTTTTCCTTATGCAGGTAGAAGCAGGAGCCTGGCCCGATGCTTCCAGAAGGATGATAAGCTCTGCTGGCAGCAAGGCTGGCAGGAAAATAATGGCCCTGGCCAGCAGCTCCTTGCACGCTAACGGTGGCTTTCACCTCTGCTGCTGCGGAGGTAGAAAAGAGGTCAGTGCTGTTAGAAGATGACTCCCCCCAGGTGAGCTAAATCACCCTCTGGAGATGCTGTAATTCCCATCTGGCACCCGAGAGCAGTGTCCCTGCTGCCGGAGCCGCAGGGCTCGGTGCGTACCCACACGGCGAGGCTGTAGGAAAGGCTCTCAGCACTGTACGTCTCAGACAAACGCCTCATTTACACACACACACGCTAAGAAATTCGCTGCCTTTTGATACGGAGCTGTTAGGTGGGCAGCTCTGCGG